TTTTGGGAAAAAAGTGTACACTATACCAGAGCTCCAGATAAGCTTTTGGTGTTGTGGGTATTTTACCCATGCATTTTAAAATCATTGGGTATCAGTAATTCTACCTGCGTATTCAAATTTCTGTTACCCACTAGTTTTTACACATGTGGGTATTTAAGTTAAATATTTAAAAACACTATTCATCTGGTCCCTGCAAACTGGTGTCGTGTGGGTTCGAGAGCTTTATAGGACTCAAAAACACCACGATACTTCCACAAGAAAGTGTGATGGCAAATGATCATGATGTAACTGTCATCGTTGAGTTTGGCAAGGTTGACGGAATGCCCCTTTATAATTTCAAAATAAGTTGTTGATTTGCTAATCGAATACGCAGGGTTACTTCACAATATTTTGATGATACGCACAAGTTTTATTATTGTAGCGTATCTGTAATGTTCGGTGCGTATTTGATATGCTTATTTTATATTTTACTGTGTATTTCTGCATTTCTGATGCGTATTTCACGCAGATACGCAGCTTATCTGGAGCTCTGCTATACTCAAGAAAATACGGTATACAATCCATATAGGACCAACACAAGCACATTTATCAATCACCGAAATACTGCTTGCCCGTGGTTAGGTTCCTGTGAGTTAAGTAATAGAGATCAAGATAAGAGTAATTTGTTTCTATGTTTGATTCTTTGAGTAAAACACAACCAAATCACAAGTATGTACATTATACAGAATAACACAGGCCTCAAAGTTGCGACCAATACTGTTGCCAATGCGTCCTAAATATAATTACTACTGCCTATAATGCAGAGCTAGCCAAATGACTACCTTGAAAAATATCTTGTGGTGACTAAATTCTATTGCTACACATCTGTAGACACAAAAATAAAAAACAGCTGATCTGGGAAAATATGTCTGCTAATAATTGTACTCGCAAATAATTCCTCCTAAAGTCGACAATGAACTCAAATATATAAATAATAATGTAGTTAGTACTTTATTTTAGTTGACAATGCTCATTGGATAAGCAAGGATATACCGATATAATCTAGTAACATAAATTGTATCATCGTTCGAGTCACAAGTAACAAAATTCAAGTACAGTTTCCACTAATATACAATTCCAAGACTTGAGCTATAACTTGTATATATTATAATAGTTATTTGATAAAAGATCATTTCAAATGCTTTTGGCTACCTACACTATTGGCTTGACTTCTTCATTTTACCACTGGCTACCTGGAAAAAAATACTTGTAGCCATATAACTACTTGGTAAAAGATTTGAGGCTTTGAGGCCTGTAACAGAAAACGTACAGCATAAAACACATATTTCATCATTTATAAACAGATAAACTATGAGCTCTGATGTAAGTTTATATTTACCGTATTTGACGTAATAAGCGCCCAGGGCACTGTCAAAATTAGAAATAGGGGGCTCTTATTAGAATAAAATTTTGGAGAAAAAAAAAACAGAGTTGAAAGATTGTAAATTTCGTGGTTTATGCTGACAGGCTGAAATGATACAAAATAAAAGTCTGTGTGTATTATACACGACATATATATTTATCAAGAATTTAATTGCCCATAATTAAGGGTGCATATAACACACGAGTGCGTATTATACACGAATAAATAAGTCTTGTGTACATTGATCAATCGGAAGGGGTGCTAATTGGGATTGTTCACAAGCCAATATATTAGCAAATAATGGCGTGGGTGCTTATTGGAGCAGGGCCCGTATTATGTCGAATACGGTAGTTGTTTTTCATAAAATTTCTTCCTTGTTAACATCCCAGAGAACACATTCATTAGCTTCTATGCAGATTTGTTGTTTCAAATTCCACTGGTGACACACATTTTTTGTGAAATTGTTCTATCAAGGCAAATGACATGGGGGAAAAAGGAAGTCCTGTCATTGACAGTTAGTAAATGCGCAGTCAAAGATAAAGGAGCAATCGTTTAAAAGCTGTGATAATAAGGCCAGGTCATGGGGGATGTTAGTTTCAGTCAGCTTTTAAAACAGTTAGAATTTCCAACCTCGCACCCTTGGCAGGCAAAATAGGGACACAATCGTAATTTGTTCAAAATTGGGGCTTTTCTAAAGCTTTATTTTTGCAATTTCAGAGGTATTTTAAAATTGTATTTTTACATTTCATTAAATGTAATGATTTAAATGTAAAATTAAGCATAATCATCACCATCATTAACAAAGAAATAAAAAATAAAATAATCATATACTGGAATTTTTATTGCAATGCGAGAATTTTGATGGACATTTGCTGCAAACATGGAGGTGAATATCTGCCCCAGATCAGGTCTAGACGGTTCCCCCCGATAAGCTGTAGTTGCGTACAATACAGAATACCCATAATAAACCAATACATTTGAAGCTGCTTGAAATTATTAAAGAACAAGTTGTATAACACTTAATGAAGAGAATTTATGGATGTCAACTTCTTTATTATGAGGAACACAATGTTTCGGAGTACATGCTTACTCCTTCATCAGGTAAGCATGCACTCCGAAATGTTGTGCTCCTCATAATAGTGAGAGAGTGAGTTGGGTTTAACAGTATTCCAGTTATATCACGGCGTGTCAGCTTAATGAGGGAGGAAAGCCTGAAGTGATGCAGGTCTCAGACGTTTACCACTTTGGTGAAACCCACTAGCACGGGTATGGTGCTGACAAAGCTAGAAACATAATTGGGGCGAACCGGGATTCGAACCCACAATCATAGGTTTCTGGCGTGCCCAAGGGACACAACTCTACACAGCGAATCGCGGCGCCTGACACGAATGGGCCACCTGTGCCCCTAAATGATTGTTGAGTTCACACTGACCCATTGATTGGGGTAATAATGTTTAAGCACTTAGAGCATGCTTATGCATGGAGTACATCGCCATATAAGTGAACTATTATTATCATTATTGTTATATACCGTATTCGATGTAATAAGCGCCTAGGGCGCTCTCAAAATTAGAAATAGGGGGCTCTTATTAGAATATTATTTTGTCGAAAAAAAAAGAGTTGAAAGATAAATGTCGTGGTTTATGCTGACAGCCTGAAATGTTTATATAGGAGAGATATATTTTTCCAGAATTTAATTGCCCATACTTAAGGGTGCATATAACACAAGAGTGCGTATTATCAGCGAATAAATACGTATTGTGTACATTGATCAATCGGAAAGGGTGCTAATTGGGATTGTTCACGAGCCAATATATTAGCAAATATCGCCGTGGGCGCTTATTAGAGCGGGGGGCTTATTACGTCGAATACCGTACATTATAATTACACAGGGTTTTGAACACTATACTAATGGAATATTGGTCAATCACATTTGTACGCAAGCAACTCGAAATTAATTGGGTTATTGTGATTTATTTCTTATCTGGAGCCCTGCATAGTTTACTTGTTGTGCACATTGTCAAAAAAAGTGTTCCTGGTGTGATGACAAAACTGTTGCTGATGCAAGGAAACCTCAATCAGGGGGGTAAATATTAAAGGTGAGGTGAAATGGGGTGCATTCAAGTTTATTGTACGTATACAGCAACCTGCATGCATATCTGAGTGGGTTGTTTGTGTGGGGGTCTGCATGTACTAGTCCAGGATATTTTAAATGCCAGTTTTATAGCGCTAGCCCACCGAGATACCATTCCACAGTTTAACATGGACTTTCAACTCAGACACAGCATACTGACACTTAGTCCTGCACCATGACTGTGGAATTTATATTTTTTAGGTATTTTTTTTTTAACTAAAACCCTAGGCAAGTCTAGATCAAACTAACCAAGTCTAAGTAAGGATAAGAATGTATGGATGAACAACTTCTTTATTACAATTAAGAGCGATGTTTCGATGTAGGTTCTAGTGAGTGAGTGAATTTGGTTTTACGCCGCTTTTAGCAATATTCCAGCAATATCACGGCGGGGGACACCAGAAATGGGCTTCACACATTGTACCCATGTTGGGATTCGAACCCGGATCTTCAGCGTGACGAGCGAACGCTTTAACCACTAGGCTACCCGACCGCCCCTGTAGGTTCTAACACTGTTATCAAGCAAGTGATATACAGAGTGTGGTTGACAAGTATATATACAGGTAGGAGGCAATGTTTATACAGTAGAGTAGATATCAGATGTAGTATTTAAATGCCTATCAAAGAAGTTAAACCAAGTCTAGTTTGCTTCATTCCACTATGTGGAAATTAAGGTTCTTTGAATTTTTTTTATTATTCTAAAGACATGTTTTCATTGACTAAGTGTTAGCCTAACTGACGCTGAGCTGACCAGGCCTTGTTGTATCCCTTTAATTAATGCAGAGCACCAGGCAGGGTAACAACAAGTAGCCAACCCATAGGTTCTTTGAATGTCTTTTGCTATGACACGGCTGGGGTTCTAGCCACGAATAAGTTACGTTAATGACAACCGAAAAGTACAGTGTTGCTTGAGTCTTGATGTTGCTGTTTTCAGCAACAAAATCTTGATATGGCTCATCATGTATAAAATAAGCAATAAAAATAGTAATTCTAATGCATTTAATCACGCGGTTAAACTTCCAATGGTAGATTACTGACTGGGCAACGGTCATGTGAGTATTCACTAAACATTTAGTCATGGGGTTAGAATACAGTTTAAAAGTGACAACGTTTTTTTCATCCGACAAACTGGGTCATGGATAGAACACAAAAGCTAACAGGCTAAGTACAGTGTAACATGGCCTCACTTGTTGCTTGAACGTAGATGTGGTGTTATTTGTACCTATTCGGTAACTTCATGCATTTGTAAAATACATCGATTCATCAATTTCAAACCACATTAGACAAAACAAGACCGACATTGAAAAACAATGCAACACACGGCGTATTTGGTTCTCTTCGGCGTGCGAAAACATTATCCAACCCAAACAGGGCCTCCCACGCATTGAAGAGTAACGTCAACGCGATTAAACATTTTCAAAATCGACGCCAATCGAACCTAAATAAAAACAAATTAAAGAATCAAACCTTTAGACGTGATTTTTGTACATCCCCTGATTGCTGGGCATCTAAAGCATTGAATGCGTGCCACAAACTTTTCTGGACTTCGCCAGTTGTCGCCATCTTGACATATTTTGATCATGTGACTTCTAGCACCGGTAACAATGCCCCGGATACTTTCGCCCACTTGCACACAAAAACGTTAATGTGGCGGTGACGCGTCGCGGAAGTAACCGTAATTACAGCACTGGGCCATAACAATATAGAAAATACGTTATGGCTAATAAGGATTATCGAAGATATGAAAACACTTAATCTTCACTTTTAAAGGAGAAGAAAGGTATAGAAAGAGGCGAAGTGATTCAAAAGAGAATTTAAGATGATATATATTAAAATTATTATGAGTATATCTGACTTGAAAGTACGTGATCGGATAATGGAGAATTGATAGGTGTTGTGGCCATTACTTGTCTGAGTTTTGAACGACGACGTATTGTCAACCTACAAAAATATTATTACACGAATGTGTCATTTTACTCGTGTCACAACATGCGCTGATCAAGGGGCCCCCTCAGGGAAGTTAGGGGTGCGCCCAATTGAGCTCCCTTTCAATCATACTAATTATGTTCTTGAGTAAAAAGACATATCAATAAATCATTTTGTGAAATATTTTCAATAAAATTAGCAAATTCTTGACAAATGTATGGCAATAAACGCAAATTGTTTCCCGAAATATGTGTGCACACACACCCTTTTCCTGGCGTCGCTAAGGTCAGCAACTCTGCAAACGGAATTATGACGTGGCAGGCGTTTACCACTTAGGTGAAACACACACGAGCGGTAAATAACATATATGGTGCTGGCAGATCAAGAAACATAATCGAGTTGAATCTGGGATTCGTACCTCGGGCGGCGGATGATGCTAGCGAGTGAGTGAGTTCAAATTTAACGTCGCACCGGCATTATTTCTGCCATATAGCGACGAGACCAAGTTGATACATACACAATTTGTACATGAATACAAAGTTATATTCAAAAATAATTTATCAAACGTATTTGGGCATACGCATATCATCATGGACACTTAACACTATATTTAGGGTCCATGATATCATGTATACAGTTTTAAAACACGGCTAAAAAACCAAAGCTAGGCCACCTCGCTGGGGATCATGGGGACTTACAGTACTTCATGCATGATACATCAGCAGGATTTGTTATCAATTAAGCTACTGGTGGTTGTGCAATCCCCCCCCCCCCCCCCCCCCCCCCCCCCCCCCTTGATATTTTATTTTACAGGAACTAGTTTTATTTGAATCAAGTTGGGGACAAGTGATACTTGTACAAATATTTATCATTTTCCATGGTGCCCCCTTCATAATATATTCTGGGTCGTACCATGGATGGACCTCAGTGTCAAAACCACAAGCATGGCGATGATCGAGTCACTCTATCGTGTCGCTTAAGATGCTCTGGTTTTGCCAAAGCTGGGCATCCACTGACAATGTGTTGGACAATTTCATTAAATTCATTGCAGGGTTGCTGATCTTCTCAACATACTGCACATGAACTCGATGCAGTGGTCGTTCATATATCCTCTCCCTGAAAAAACTGAGTCTGGGGCGATTTGCTATGGCATTTTGTCTGTACAATCCAGCAGTAAAGAACCGTCAACAAAATTTAAGAAAACCGAAGAATGCCTTGTTTTCATCATGAGTCTTGACATGCTTCCCAAGAGAATCATAAGACAAATAAATACATGAAAGTGCACAATAAAATTATATCATGGAAAGCTTCCACTTTAATCAAACCACGCCCTCCCATTATAACTGGTAAATATAACCGATTGGCATTTTGCAATAGGCGAGGTCCGCATTTTTGCCATGTTTTTTTTCTGAATCGTGCCAAAGGGAACAGATAATTCGTATAAATTATATAAATGATTTAAATGATATAAATGATATAAATGATTTCAATGGGTTTTTTAAAAAGTCAGTTTTGTTGGCCTGGATACGCCTGAGGCTGTATATGGGCCTATTCCAAAGAATTTTATATTTATACTTTCCAATGACGCCCTCTATACTTTGGGGGATAAGGATTTGAATTGTAAAATTGTCTCTCTTATCTGTACCATCATAATGTCATTTAGAAAGTGATCAAATGTTATATTTGGGGTAACACTTTCTTAGTAAAGTACGGATTCTCGTACTTTTGGGGGTTGAGTCCCGTCCGGGATTCGAACCCACACTGCCAGAGCGAGGCACCTAATCACCAGCACACAAAGTTAGCGATCTAACTCACTCAGCCACCGAGGCTTCCACAGTGAAAGTCCGACAACTGGTAGTCCAGATCACGTACCTTGTGTACCCCTTGTGACAAGCATAAATTGGCACGGCTCCCATGGCTGAAGGCTGTCAACATACAATGCCTTTTAGAAAGTGATCAAATGTAACAAATGTTATATTTGGGATAACACTTTCCTGGTAAAGTACAGATTCTGGAATCCCGGACGGGACTCAACCCCAAAAAGTACGAGAAGCTGTACTTTACTCGGAAAGTGTTATCCCAAATATGACATTTGTTACAGTTGACCACTTTCTATATGGCATTGTGTCACATTTGTCACATCAACTTGCTGCCCTCATTCCGCCATACGGTATATTGTTAACTGATGTTATGTTGTGCCCAGCATGTTGAGAATGAGTAGCCTTGCTGTGGCTTTTTTTACATTTTTTTAACAATATAGCAATCTTTGATATGTAAACAGTAAATGTAATTCAGCTTTATTTCATCTTAATTAATCAGTTTAATCATACATATTTTGGGGATACTTTAAAAATATATCAAAGTTTCTTTTGAGCTAGCATGGGTATGATTAACTCCCTAGCAAGTCTATGCTCATAATTCCCTCGACCTTCGTGGACGAGAGGGGACAACGCTTTCTCGCTTTCTCGCTCTGTCGCTTTATGGCGGTAAAGGGGGCACGGGTGGCCCAGTCGTCTAAGGCGCCGTGATTCGCTGTTCAGAGTTGCGTCCCTTGGGCACGCCAGCAACCTATGAGTCTGGGTTCGAATACCGGTTCGCCCCGATAATGTTTCTAGGTTTGTCAGCACCATACCCTTGCTAGTGGGTTTCACTGAAGTGGTAAGCGTCTGAGACCTGCATCACTTCGGGTTTTCCTCCCACATTAAGCTGACACGCCGTGATATAACTGGAATACTGTTAAAAGCGGCGTTAAACCCAACTCACTCGCTCATTCTGGCGGTGCCCCTCTTGACCACTGTAGGGGTCGCATGTGTTATCTGTTTCAATTGGGAGGTAATGTTCAAATCTTCTCACTATTTACTTTAAAATAATTTAAATGTACAGACGTAGGTGATTTTAATTCCAAAAACAATCCACGGATTTCTGCGTAAAATGTAATTGATTAATGGCCCTATTTAGGAGTCACCATCACGCCGAAAGCGCGTGGCCGGTCATGGCAAGACGCTCTAAATAAATCAGTTTAAAATCTGAATACATAGTTTTCAAAAGAAGTTAAAGAATCCCCGATTCTTTCACGTGACTATGGTTAATCAGTCATGGCTGATTGTATCAAAAACACAATCTTATACTTGTGAGTGTTCTGAGTGAGTGAGTAGAATATGATGTTTCAGTGTTAATGTCATAATACTGTTGTCCGTATGTAGGTATGGATGGATGGATGGATGGATGGATGCATGCATGCATGACTCACTGTCTGTGTATATATAAGGTAGATAATTACGTACCTCATCAGAACACACAATTGATACACCATACAGTTTAATAGATAGAGAATTATCATCACTTTCTAGCTCTGTCGCTTTCTCGCTCTATCGCATCTCTCACGACTGATTAACCATTGTCATATGAAAGAATCGAGTTCTTTAACTTTTTTGAATAGTATATACTGTAATCTTGAAATTAGCGCGAAAGTTAATTAAATGCAAAAAATGCGAGTGGACCTAATCAATTACTCTTTGCATCTATATATCAGAAATGACTGTTGATAAGACGGCCTCACTGCAGACTTTGAATAGCGGAAATATCAACTTGAATATAAAAACAAACAACTCTCTATTTCCACATCACGGTTTTTAGAACAATATATCATTCAAACACGAAAACAAACTTTAAAATTTAGATTATTGTCTTGACCCGCCACGCACATTCGGCGTGATGATCACATAAATCTCCTAAATAGGGTCATAAATCATTCAATTTCTTTTGACGCAGACATTGTTTTAAATTTGATTGTTTAAAAATCAATAGTTTGCTTTGTGGAAAATACCCAAATGTCAACATGTTTGTGTTAATAGTGAACATGTTTTTTTTGTGTTTGATAGTTGGATTGTGCTCAGTAAATGAATAGTTTGTTGGGTGCAGCTGGGAAGAAACGATTTGTCTGAGAAAACAAAACACCCCACCACAAAACAAGTGGATGCTCCCTCATGTATATTTGATACCATATATCAAGCAAACACGTCGTGACTCCGGTAAACAACGTTGCCATGGAAACCCCAAGCAAAACACAAAACACCAGGGTTTAAGATCAACTAATTTTGAAAAGACTATATAAAAAAAACCAACACAACATTATATGACCTGCCTTCGGTTCGAAACCGTCACCATCATCACTAAAGAAAGGGTGTGTCTTCTGTTGGCCTACATCTGGTAACAACAAATTGGTTATTTTTATACATATTGTAACATATCCCTACAGTGCGGACAAGTCGGTTCTTTTCGAAGACAACAATGCTAACGTCAATCAACTGCACCATGAACTTGGGTTCGAATCCCATCGCCCAATTATGACCCCTGGTCTGTCCGTTACACCTCTCTCTCTCTCTCTCTCTCTCTCTCTCTGTGTGTGTCTCTCTCTCTCTCTCATTCTCTCTCTCTCTCCCTCTGTCTCTCTCTCTCTCTCGCTCTCTCTCGTGAGATGTCGTGGATGTCGATGTCGAATGACTGACATTATTTTTTAAGTATGTTTGCTTTTACATCAATATTCATATTTATTGGTCATTTAAGGTCTCCCACTGAGCTCAGATGTGATATGTTTTGAACTATAAAGAAATTATCTGATGACACAAGGACTAAAAACTAACTAGGATCAACTGTGGCTAATATTAATTGCCTAGACTCACATTTGTCCTTTATCAACTCGTTCAAGTATTAATATAATGATAATTAGTTTTACAGCCTTATAAATAATGAACTCGCAGAGTAGAACAGCGCAGGTTATCAAGACAGCTCATTAGGTATTTTTACTATCCACAATTACAACATCTTTCCGAGACAAGGGAGTTAACTGACTATAAAAGTCCAGTTTCCACCCCTGCCGAACTAGGATGGAATTATGGTGTTGTATTTTGGTTGGACTAAGGAGTCTATGCATTGTCCAATCAAAATCGCGTTACGAACTGGGCATCCGGTTCGTAAACCGCCATGCTGATTTCGGTCGCTTGCAAGATTTGCAAGGCATGTGTACCGCCAACTCGGCGTTAACAGATATTTTTCAAATCTTTTCATGTTTTAATCAATGTGCTCACGAGATTTAATGCACTTCGTGAAGCAAGACCCGTTTATCACAATCTAAATCTTGATTATTGATCAGATCGTCTTGACTGGGCGCCGCCATATTGTTTGAAGCAAATGTAAGTGATATGAGAGGTGGAAACTTAGGGGGGCGTACAAGGGAAATAACTCGTAATAGCATTGGTGGCGCTACGATCGATCCCAGAAATTCCAGCCTCGTTCGGCAACGGTGGACTCGATTTTTATAGTCAGTTTACTCCCTTGCCTCGCGAAGATGCAATTAGATATGCCTTTTGGACGTGATAAAACTCGTAAACGTCTAAGATATGCATCACATCAGGCTTCCCTCCCACATCACGCTGACGCACCGTGATGCATCCGGATGCAACTGAAATACCACAACAACTCCTGCCACCATCCCCAACAAGCCATCATTGCCACCCTCACCCGACGTGGCAAATCCATTTGCCAACCCTGAGAACCTCAGCAGTGGACTCGACCATCTCAAGAAACCTTCTCTTCCCTCAAGAACTCCGACCCCAAACCCAAAACCTGCCCCATCGCCCATCAGAAACACCATATCCTACCAAGGCCCCGTCACTCATCAGATTTCCCGCCTCACCAAAAACAAAGCCAACATAGATGTCACCTTTTGTAGCGGCAAGTCCATCAAGACCCATCTACGAGCCAATGGCAGAGGCACCAGCAGCGCAAGACCCAACCCCAGAGGATGCACATACCACATCCCCTGCTACTGCGGCCACCATTCATTGGAGAAAAATGTGTTCTTCTTCATGGCTAGCCTTAAAAGTTGAAGAAATATTGAAAGACCAGTTCCTGCAGAATTGGCACAGTTGTGAAGAGTCCTTAAGGTGTGTACCACAAAATGTTTAAAGAAAATATAACCTTTGAAAAATATCCTAAAAACGTTTATCACCCAATCTTAAGTTTAAGAACCACAAACCATAACTTACCAATTGAAACCGGACGCTGGTCTGATGTCCCAAGAGTGGAGCGTTTGTGTAATTTATGTAGTTCTCCCACGGCTGGTGACGAATTTCATTACCTATTTAGATGTGAAGCTCTTCTCCAGTGGAGGTCTATGTACATACCCAAAGATTTTTCCGAATAGCCTAATGTGCGTTAATTGAAAAAAAGGTTTATCTAGCATTAGAGTAACAGAAATGAAAAACTTGTCCAAATTCATAAATACAATCTTGAGTAATGTTGAAGCTGTTAAAGAACCTGTATGAGATTCTTGTCACTTTATTTCTGTTATATTAATTATTTATTATTTTGATCCCTATATGTATTTTCACAATACTCCTGTCATCTTGAAATTATTATTATATTATGAATTTATATTATATTTCTTCTCATGTACCAACGTTGGTGGGTCTTTCTGAGAAATGAACTGAACTGAGCTATTATCCAACCGGCTTCCATTTGTCCATTGCCATGTCCATTGTTTTTACCAATTAATTCTAATTACACCCTCCCTCCCGTTTGCCCATTACCAATCAGTGATCATTGAAGTCCTGGCATCCAGTTGTCCATTGCTAATCGTCTATCGACGCCAATTATCTGTTGGCTTCCCTTGTTAATTTTCCACCTTTGTTATCTACTTACTTTTGTTATTCTTAGAGGTACAAATATGTTATCTCCTTCAGAGCACCATTCACCCGAGGAAGGAGTAAGTATACCTTCCCGAAACGGTTTGTTCCTCGTTATAAAGAAGTTGACGTCCATAAGTTCCCTTCCTTATATGTGTCTGCCATTCAAAGAGTGAAAAGAATTATACACTTGAAAATTCAAAATTCACTGTACTTTGTTTATATCCCGAATTTGATTAGTCAATCAGAGGTTTCAAATCGCCATCGGTTCCAATTTCAATTGAGCACGGCTAATCTACAGGTAACATAACTTTTGTTTGTTTGTTGTTTTACGCCGCATTCAGCATGACGGCGGTCTGTAAATAATGAAGTCTCGACCAGACAATCCAGTGACTGATACCATAAGCATCGATCTACGCAATTGGGATACGATTACATGCATCAATCATGTCAGCGAGCCTGACCACCCGATCCCGTTTGTCGCCTCTTACAAGCATAGTCGCCTTTTACGGCAAGCATGGGTTGCTGAAGACCTATTCTACCCCGGATCTTCACGGGTCGGTAACCTAACTCTACATCGAAAAGATAGTGTAGTAATTACATACACTCACAAACTCTTTGGATGCATGTTTGTACCACGGTAAGCTGAATGAACAAGTTTTTTATTACTTTTTTTAATTTATTATTAAGTAAACACTCATTCTGTGGTCAATAATTGATCTGCTTATTCACAAGAAAACAACACGACTCATGGTTTAAATGCACGACCCGAGGATCGCATCTATAAGATGGATTTGCACAGGGACATCCGGCTGTGCTGAGTTTGATTTTTATGGAATTTATAATTGAAAGACATTGAAAGACATCAATTGAAATCGATTATGTCTATTGAAACATCAACGATTCGTTTGTATAAAGTACTTTGTGGCTGGATAATATTGTGTAAAATATATTGGTTCAATAAATACTGGGGTAAGAAATGAATTTTCAGCCATATGACCTTTACCATGTTTGAAATGTTGTAAATGTGTTCACAAAAGAGCAAATTTATTGATTTTCAAAGAAAAAACGTTTAAGATACCCATCAATAATTGTCTATTGTGCAAGATTGTTCTTTTTTAATTTGTAAAAGTTTAAAATTATATTTGAAAAAAAATGAAAAAAAACACCAAGTAGAAGTATTCTTTCAGTGAGGTGGAAGTGAGGTGAGGTGAAATGGGGTTTAACGTCGCGCCCAAGATGATTGCACGTTTATATAGCGACATGCATGTACGTGTATGTGTGTGTGTGTGTGTGTGTGGCTGCTTGTACTAGTTCGGACTATAGCCGATTTATAGTGCTAGCACACTGAGATACCATGCCGCAGTTTAACATGAATACCCAACTCAGACACAGTATACTGACTCCGAGCCGACCAGTCCTTGTTTTAGCCCCTCAATGCCGAGCGCCAGACAGGGTAACAACAAGTACCATCTTTTAACGTCTTTTGGTATGACGCGGCCGGGATCGAACCCCGGATCTTCCGCTCTCCGGGCGGACGCTCTGCCACTAGACCACGGAAGCGGTCTCATATTTTGGATATGATATCGCTTACTTACTATTTTCAACTGAAAATGAACATATGACAAAATCAACTGAGGTTAACTTTCTTTTGCCCTTCAGTTTACGTGAATTTTCTTTCGTGATATATCTGAAATAGTCGTCATTTGTTTGATGTTTTATAATGTTCTATATTTCATCTGTGTATACAATATAGTGTCTTATAAATGTATGACGTCTAATTTACTTTTTTGTTTGTTGATTAACGCCGCACTCATCAATATTCCAGCTATATGACGTCAGTCTGTATAAATAATCGAGCCTGGGCAAGACAAGTCTGTGATTGATATCGAGATACGATGACGCGCATCAACCAAGTCAGCGAGCCTGATCACCCGAACCCGCCTCTCTCGTACGACAAACACAGTCGCCTCTTACGACAAGCATAGGTTGCTGAAGACTATACTAACGCGGATCTTCACAGTCTAAGTATGATATTTTACAAATGTTTGATATGCAATGGCGTGGTTTACACATAATCCTTGATTTTTATCTTTGTCCTTTTCCGGGGCCGGTTTCGTCTGGGATGAGTGGGGGCGTTTTAGCCAGCAACCGAAAGAAGGAGCACGCCATAAGGTCACCTTGACGATGTCGACTGAAAGCTGGACAAAATAACACAGGGAACAAATCAGCACATTCACCGGCCGACGTTCCAACAGGAGCGTTTCAAACCGATAAACGTAGATCTAAGGTCGGATGTTTATCGAGCCTATCCTCCCGCAAACAAGGAAGTAACGTGATATAGGTCAGCGACATGTACTTGTGTTAATCGCGTTCTGGTACGAATGGCTGAGATATGCAGAGATTAACGTAGAGTTAATCTCCGGACGAAGATCAGCTGAAAATAGCAAGCGATCTCACGCTCGAATATTTTACTTGAAAGCTTTTGCTTGCCTCAAGTAGGCTAATTGAGCGATTCAGTGACTGATTTAGAACCAGGACCTACAACCCTATGATTAATGCTTTTATTGGTATTGCCTTTGTTGAGATCTGAAATGTTGTGAAACGTGTCATTGTTGACATGCGGATCCAGAGAAGGGCGGGGGAGAGGGGAGGGCGGGGGAGAGGGGAGGGGGGGGGGGGGGGGGGGGGGATGTCTTGGGGGTCCGAAACCCTCTTTTGAAAACCAAATGTAGTATGTTGTAGGCCTTAAAATATTGATTTTGATATTTTTGACACGCCCCTTTTAAAAATCCTGGATACGTTGCACAAAGTTCGCATATAAATTTATCAAACTCTCAAAGTGATTATACGTGCGCTTCTACTATTGATTCATTACTATAGTTGTGGTTTTTATAAAATAGCAATATTAACCCTCTGGCAGCCACCTAAAAATAGCCTGTGTACTATCGCTGTGCCGAGTTTATTTGCGAGTGACGTTCTGGAAACTGAACACCTTCGTCTAAAAACGACGTTATGTAACAACGGTAAAACCCACAATTTTCAAATTTCAGGCTATAACAGTACAACCATTTCCCTAACTGTCTATGTAAATATTGTAAAGCATTAACGTGATTACCTATTGTTTATAGCTCGGCAAACGTATTGAATATGCGATTTTTTTACAAAATGTCCATGGCAGCTGTTTTGTTGACATTGCGCACTGGATACTTTGTGCGTCTTGTCAGGTTGTAAATCTACAAAAATGTTAAAACCAAAAACATTATGCAAAAGCCTGTTTGTTTCCCGATTACCGTGTTGAAAATGAAACATCTCCGTGGAAAATCGTCCTCGAAAGTGTCGATTACGAATTTGTTCAAATATGTGTGACGCCATTTTGTCCGTAAATTAGTGAAACTCTAATGTTATCGTTTGCATATCATGTCGGAAAATGCATATTAATGAAAAAACTAGTAATGCAGGTTAGAATAGGTCTTCAGCATCCCATGCTTGTCATAAATGGCGATTATGCTTGTTGTAAAAGGAGACTAACAAGATCAGATGGTCAGGCTTACTGACTTGGCTGATGCTAGGGGGGCACGGGTGGCCCAGTTGTCTAAGGCGCTTCGATTCGCTGTGCAGAGTTGCGTTCCTTGGGCACGCCAGAAATCTATGATTGCGGGTTCGAATCCCGGTTCGCCCCGATTATGTTTCTAGGTTTGTCAGCACCATACCCGTGCCCGTGGGTTTCACCGAAGTGGTAAACGTCTGTGACCTGCATCACTTCGGGCTTTCCTCCCACATTAAGCTGACACGCCGCGATATAACTGGAATACTGTTAAAAGCGGCGTTAAACCAAACTCACTCACTCACTCACTGGCTGATGCTAGGGCTGGGACGGGTACCCGGGTCGGGTGGGTACTGAGCAGGACCCAGGTACCCACAGGACTAACCGGACCCATGATTAATCACGAGATATATTGTTTAATGACAAAAATTATCTAGAACCCTATGGGTACACTACAAGTCACTAATGTTTGCATTTCTTTCTGACTATGAACCCAATCCTACTGAATTTTCATATGGTTAAATAAAAATATAACTTAAGTCAACTTCAGTGTATGCATGACCAGATGGATCTAAATACGCTTTGCCAGGGCTATGCTAAAAAAGGGCCCAATCAGACATTTTGAGACCAACAGTGGGTACCCAGGTAGGGTCGGGTAATTGGGGATGGGTACCCGGGAAGTAAATTTCGACTCATCCCAGCCCTAGTTGATGCATGTCATAGTATCCCAATTGCGTGGATCCATGTTCATTATGTCAATCACTGGAATGTCTGGTCTAGACTTGATTATTTACAGACCTCCATCATATAGACGGAATATTGCTCAGTGTGGCGTTAAACAACAAACAAAACAAATAAACATCTTTTAACGTCTCTCAATCTCATTAAAATCAGATCTTAGTTCTCGCTACTGCTAAACAAAGCTTTAGCGGTAGCAAGAACTATAAGATCTTATTTTAATGAGACTGAATGATCCTTGGTATGACATGTCCAGGGATTAAACCTCCAACGATCCACTCTCTGGGCAGATGCTCTATCCACTAGACCACGGAGGTGGTCAATTAATCGGCCAAAGGCAGTTACTTCCATTGCGTCCAGTGTGACATGATTTTCATTATTTCAGGTTGTGTGAGTTTTTACGAAAGAATTAACTTTCACCTTGTGTCAGTTCATTGGAGTAGGAACCTTCACAGATTGAGGGCCAAACTGTATCAATGTTGGAGTATGTGAGTCATCATTGATCAGTTGGCTGATCATTGAAAGTGATTATATAGATGTGTCAAATAGATACAGAGGTAAATTTATAGAGTGCTGTAGACAGTCACTTGTCAGTTTTGACACTGATTGTGTCCACAGTTTGGAAGTGCATTTCTTCGTTTTGTTCACTGGGATTGGTCGACTGACGATATTCTTCAACAGGGCATGTAATCAAACTCTCTGACTTATCCCAGTGTATGCTAAAATGCTAACTGTGCAGAGTTCAAGATTTACATCATTTTAAGAGAACAGTCCTCTGAAAAAGCGTATGAACCTCAAAATGTGTCATTCATACACTTAGAATCGTCAGCTTAGCGGTCATGTGACCGACCTCTCATCCAATGGAAAAGCCATATATCATCGTAACTTCTCATTGAAAAATTAGATAGTTTTGATTTTATAGTTTTGAACCCGTGAAGTTCCAGTGTAGAATAGGTCTTCAGCAACCCATGCTTGCCGTAAAAGGCGATGATGCTCATGATGTCAATCACTGGATTGTCTGGTCCAGACTAAATTATTTGCAGACCGCCGTCATATAGCTGGAATATTGCTGAGTGAGGCGTTAAACAATAAACAAAACAAAAACAAAAAGGTATTTTTGAACAGTTTTTCAGTTATGTCACAGCCTGTCAGGAGATAGGTCTTGTATTTACCACCACAATGAGAATGGGTAGAATGAGACAGACATGCTGACAGATCAAGGGTTGATAGATGTATTATCAGCAGATCCTGGTACAGATGAACTGAGGACAACTAGTTGTGCATGCCTCAGATCTCTGTGTAAGCTGTGCTGGCAGATCAAGGGTTGATAGATGTATTATCAGTAGATCCTGGAACAGCTCAACTGAGGCACTGCAATTCACTGTACAGAGTTGAATCCCTTAGGCATGCCAGAAACCTATTATCGTGGGTTCAAATCCTGGTTTGCCCTGATTTTGTTTCTAGCTTTGTCTGTACCATACCTGTCCTTGTGTGTTTCACCAAAGTGGTAAACGTCTGAGACATGCATCACTCTGGGCTTTCCTCCCACTGAAATACTGTTCAAAGTGGCGTTAAACCCAACTCACTCACTCACTAACTTGGACTTGAATTTCTCTGACATTGGGACTCAGATTCCAGAACCTTCACCTTGATACTCTTTCCTCACCACTGGTAGGGGACATAACTCACTCGTAATTGTTCTATGTTAAATTTGGTCATAATTTTTTTTTTATTATTCTACAGGTAATAGGATCAAGCCATGGTTATCAGAAGACTTTGTGCACACTACAGCCAAATAACAAATAGTTTGGTGTTAACAAACATTGGACATGTAACTCCCATATTGTCATGTAACTTCTCAAATAGCCAAACAGTTAAATTCATCAACAGCCAATCAAAAAAGGCCTCCAACAGCCAATCAGGAAGTGTCTCCAATAGCCAATCAGAAAGTGTCTCCAACAGCCAATCAGAAAGTGTCTCCAACAGCCAATCAGAAAGTGTCTCAAGGAGCCAATCAGGAAGTGTCTCCAACAGCCAATCAGAAAGGGTCTCCAAAAGCCAATCAGGAAGCATCTCCAACAGCCAATCAAAAAGTCTATGCAGCAACCAAAATGGCCAAACTTTATTCTTCCAAAGCAGCACACAAGCTGAGATTATGAAACATACAGAGCTTACAAGAGATCACCTGACCCCAGAGATACAGCTCCACCTGGTGACAAGAAAGTGTAACCTTTGGCACAGCAGGGGAGACAAATCTCCCTTTGTGGACCCTTTCTGGGCCTTCTTCTGGCCAGGTGGTCAGGCAGTGACAAGGTATTTGACACCAATAGTTCTTATATGGTCCCTATTGTTCTTATGACACTAATAGTGTTTCACATCCCTCTGGATCCACAGACCGCCTCAGTGGTGTAGTGGATAGAGTGTCTGCCAGGAGAGTGGAAAGTCAGTGGTTCGATCCCCGGCCACGCCATACCAATACATGTTGAAAGTTGGTACTGGTTGGCTCTCAGCCTTAATGGGATAAAACAAGTACTGGAGGCTCAGTTTTCTGTGCCTAAGTTGGGTATCCATGTTAAACTGTGAAATGGTATCTCAGTGGGCTAGCATTATACAACTGGCATTAGTCTGGATAAGTACAAATCCACATACATACACTCTCGCTCGCTGGGTCCACATGATGTGAAAAAATATTTTTGTACCAATGATTTTCAAACATTTTTCACATGAAATGTGTTTTTTACAAGCAACATTACAAAGGTTCTTGCTTGTTTTTTTGTTTTTTAGATCTCAGTATTTCAGAGGCTGGTTGGTTCAAGTCAAAAGCATGGTTCAAGCCAAAAGGAGGAATAATTTTCTTCATGTAATCAAAAATAATGTTAATCATAATTAATGATTTGATATTATACACAAAGAAAATCTATACAAATCCTGAAATGTAATTAATTCTAATATGAAAATGATAAAGACAATTTCTTGGAGAGTAACTTAACTATAGTTGATAGGGTTAATGAAAGTCATGTGATCACTAACTGCAGGTACATTCTGGACAACCGTGACAAGTTCCGACAGAGGACAGTGCTGGATGTTGGGTCCGGATGTGGGGCTTCAGCCATTGCAGCTGCTCTGTGTGGTGCCAAGACAGTGGTGGCCAATGACATTGATGCAGGTATGTGAGGGCCAACACAGAGGTGGCCAATGACATTGATGCAGGTGTGTGAGGACCAAGACAGCGGTGGCCAATGACATTGATGCAGGTGTGTGAGGGCCAAGACAGCTTTGGCCAATGACATTGATGCAGGTGTGTGAGGGACAAGACAGTGGTGGCCAATGGCATTGATGCAGGTGTGTGAGGGACAAGACAGAGGGGGACAATGACATTGATGCAGGTGTGTGAGGGACAAGACAGAGGTGGCCAATGACATTGATGCAGGTGTGTGAGGGACAAGACAGTGGTGGCCAATGGCATTGATGCAGGTGTGTGAGGGACAAGACAGAGGGGGCAAATGACATTGATGCAGGTGTGTGAGGGACAAGACAGTGGTGGCCAATGACATTGATGCAGGTGTGTGAGGGACAAGACAGAGGGGGACAATGACATTGATGCAGGTGTGTGAGGGACAAGACAGAGGTGGCCAATGACATTGATGCAGGTGTGTGAGGGACAAGACAGAGGGGGACAATGACATTGATGCAGGTGTGTGAGGGACAAGACAGAGGTGGCCAATGACATTGATGCAGGTGTGTGAGGGACAAGACAGTGGTGGCCAATGGCATTGATGCAGGTGTGTGAGGGACAAGACAGAGGTGGCCAATGACATTGATGCAGGTGTGTGAGGGACAAGACAGAGGGGGCCAATGACATTGATGCAGGTGTGTGAGGGACAAGACAGAGGGGGCCAGTGACATTGATGCAGGTGTGTGAGGGACAAGACAGAGGTGGCCAATGACATTGATGCAGGTGTGTGAGGGACAAGACAGAGGGGGCCAGTGACATTGATGCAGGTGTGTAAGGGACAAGACAGAGGGGGCCAGTGACATTGATGCAGGTGTGTGAGGGACAAGACAGAGGGGGACAATGACATTGATGCAGGTGTGTGGGGGACAAGACAGAGGGGGACAATGACATTGATGCAGATATTTGAGGGACAAGACAGAGGGGGGCAGTGACATTGATGCAGGTGTGTGAGGGACAAGACAGAGGTGGCCAATGACATTGATGCAGGTGTGTGAGGGACAAGACAGAGGGGGACAATGACATTGATGCAGGTGTGTGGGGGACAAGACAGAGGTGGCCAATGACATTGATGCAGGTGTGTGGGGGACAAGACAGAGGTGGCCAATGACATTGATGCAGGTGTGTGAGGGACAAGACAGAGGGGGACAATGACATTGATGCAGGTGTGTGGGGGACAAGACAGAGGTGGCCAATGACATTGATGCAGGTGTGTGAGGGACAAGACAGAGGGGGACAATGACATTGATGCAGGTGTGTGGGGGACAAGACAGAGGGGGACAATGACATTGATGCAGGTGTGTGAGGGACAAGACAGAGGTGGCCAATGACATTGATGCAGGTGTGTGGGGGACAAGACAGAGGGGGACAATGACATTGATGCAGGTGTGTGAGGGACAAGACAGAGGGGGACAATGACATTGATGCAGGTGTGTGGGGGACAAGACAGAGGGGGACAATGACATTGATGCAGGTGTGTGAGGGACAAGACAGAGGGGGACAATGACATTGATGCAGGTGTGTGGGGGACAAGACAGAGGGGGACAATGACATTGATGCAGGTGTGTGGGGGACAAGACAGAGGGGGACAATGACATTGATGCAGGTGTGTGAGGGACAAGACAGAGGGGGACAATGACATTGATGCAGGTGTGTGGGGGACAAGACAGAGGGGGACAATGACATTGATGCAGGTGTGTGAGGGACAAGACAGAGGGGGACAATGACATTGATGCAGGTGTGTGAGGGACAAGACAGAGGGGGACAATGACATTGATGCAGGTGTGTGGGGGACAAGACAGTGGTGGCCAATGGCATTGATGCAGGTGTGTGAGGGACAAGACAGAGGGGGACAATGACATTGATGCAGGTGTGTGAGGGACAAGACAGAGGGGGACAATGACATTGATGCAGGTGTGTGAGGGACAAGACAGAGGGGGACAATGACATTGATGCAGGTGTGTGGGGGACAAGACAGTGGTGGCCAATGGCATTGATGCAGGTGTGTGAGGGACAAGACAGAGGGGGACAATGACATTGATGCATGTGTGTGGGGGACAAGACAGAGGGGGACAATGACATTGATGCAGGTGTGTGAGGGACAAGACAGAGGGGGGCAGTGACATTGATGCAGGTGTGTGGGGGACAAGACAGAGGGGGACAATGACATTGATGCAGGTGTGTGAGGGACAAGACAGAGGGGGACAATGACATTGATGCAGGTGTGTGGGGGACAAGACAGAGGGGGACAATGACATTGATGCAGGTGTGTGGGGGACAAGACAGAGGGGGACAATGACATTGATGCAGGTGTGTGAGGGACAAGACAGAGGGGGCCAGTGACATTGATGCAGGTGTGTGAGGGACAAGACAGAGGGGGACAATGACATTGATGCAGGTGTGTGAGGGACAAGACAGAGGTGGCCAATGACATTGATGCATGTGTGTGGGGGACAAGACAGAGGGGGACAATGACATTGATGCAGGTGTGTGAGGGACAAGACAGAGGGGGGCAGTGACATTGATGCAGGTGTGTGGGGGACAAGACAGAGGGGGACAATGACATTGATGCAGGTGTGTGAGGGACAAGACAGAGGGGGACAATGACATTGATGCAGGTGTGTGGGGGACAAGACAGAGGGGGACAATGACATTGATGCAGGTGTGTGAGGGACAAGACAGAGGGGGACAATGACATTGATGCAGGTGTGTGGGGGACAAGACAGAGGGGGACAATGACATTGATGCAGGTGTGTGGGGGACAAGACAGTAGTGGCAAATGACATTGATGCATGTGTGTGGGGGACAAGACAGAGGGGGACAATGACATTGATGCAGGTGTGTGGGGGACAAGACAGTAGTGGCAAATGACATTGATGCATGTGTGTGGGGGACAAGACAGAGGGGGACAATGACATTGATGCAGGTGTGTGAGGGACAAGACAGAGGGGGACAATGACATTGATGCATGTGTGTGGGGGACAAGACAGAGGGGGACAATGACATTGATGCAGGTGTGTGAGGGACAAGACAGAGGGGGACAATGACATTGATGCAGGTGTGTGAGGGACAAGACAGTGGTGGCCAATGGCATTGATGCAGGTGTGTGAGGGACAAGACAGAGGGGGACAATGACATTGATGCAGGTGTGTGAGGGACAAGACAGAGGGGGACAATGACATTGATGCAGGTGTGTGGGGGACAAGACAGAGGGGGACAATGACATTGATGCAGGTGTGTGGGGGACAAGACAGTAGTGGCAAATGACATTGATGCATGTGTGTGGGGGACAAGACAGAGGGGGCCAATGACATTGATGCAGGTGTGTGGGGGACAAGACAGAGGGGGCCAATGACATTGATGCAGGTGTGTGGGGGACAAGACAGAGGGGGCCAGTGACATTGATGCAGGTGTGTGAGGGACAAGACAGAGGGGGCCAATGACATTGATGCAGGTGTGTGAGGGACAAGACAGTGGTGGCAAATGACGCGTGCCAAGACAGTGGTAGGTGAGGGTTTCAAAGTGGAGACATATAGTCAATGAGTCCGTGTTAAACCCAAGTGACAACGATTAACAGCACAGGACCTGTTCCAGGAAGCCACATCCATGCAACGACTGTCGTAAGCCCATGTTAAAGTAGGGGGGGTAACAATCGCTTTGTTGAACTGGGTCCTGGGCCTGGGTCCATAGATTAAAATACTAAGCAGAAAACACCAATGTTCAGTTCTATATTTATTTTGCGTCCGTGTTCAATTTCTATTTTCCTTCCAATCAACTAATTATTGAAATCGGTGATAAGTAATGTTACCATAGTTACACATATATATTAATTGTTTCAGTTGCAACAGTGGCAGCCAAGTTAAATGCAAATGTGAACCTCTGTGGCATTACTGTGGATTCCAGGAATATGATTGGCTCAGTCTGCAACCAATGGGATGTGATTATTCTTGGAGATATGTTCTATGACAGTGAGTTTGTAAGCTGCATCAGCGATTGGTTGAATCATTATATGAAGGCTGGTACATGTGTTCTCATTGGTGACCCAGGAAGACTGACATTTGAAAATCACCCAATGAAATCACTGCTTACAAAACTGGCTGAATATAACTTGCCGGAGCAAAGTCGTCTAGAGAATAATGGGCTTAATACGGCTGGAGTCTGGATGTTGGAAGTGGGTACTTGAGTTGCTGGATGATGTGATGGAACCATATTTGTCTGTTTGTTTATTTTTAACGCAGCACTCAGCAATATTCCTGCTATTTGACAGCGGTCTGTAAATAATCAAGTCTGGACCAGACAATCCAGTGATTGATATCATGAGCATCGATCCACACATTTGGGATAGATGACATGTATCAACCAAGTCAGCGGGCCTGACCACCCGATCCCGTTAGTAGCCTTTTACGACAAGCATAGTCGCCTTTTACGGCAAGCATGGGTTGCTGAAGACCTATTCTACCCCGGATCTTCACAGATGTGTAGTAACAACCCTAGTTGTTAAATCTATCAATGCCAAAGTGCATCAATAATTGGATTTATTAAACTCAACCAGCCAATCCGGTGATTGACATCATTGAGCATCATTCTACACAATTGGGATATGATGACAGGCATCAATCAAGTCAGCGAGCCTGACCACCCAATCCCGGTAGTTCCCTCTTACGACAAGCAAGCGTCACTGAAGACCAATTCAGACCCAGATCTTCACCGGTAGAACCATATATGGCAGACTGGGTGTTTGTGGGAACTGGATGGACCAAAATATGGCAGCGAAGTGACATGCAGAACAATATCACACAGGTACAGACCACAGGTCAATACTTAATACCTTTCAACCAGGGGTCCGGAAAATTTAAAATCCCAATCGGACATTTGCATTTAGGCCACGCCCCCTTCAAATAGCGTATTTTAGTACGACTTTTCACACACATTACAAGTTTACGTATTCATAATATGATGAATTATGAATTGTTTCAATTTAAATTGTTTAATTCACCGGAGTTTCAACTGACTGCCAAGCTCAAGTTGGCCATGTCAGCATGAACAGTGTGTCAGTCCTTGATAAATGATAGTTTTGGACATGCACTTGGTACATGTATTATTAGTTACACAGCGATAGAAACTAACAGTTTTTGTCCACTAGTCCTTATAATGATAACATATAGTAAAACCCTTGTAAAGGACAAATTTCTACTAGTCCTTTGGATACCTTAACTATTGAGCAGTTTGGTAAGGACTACAGGAATAGTGCCAATTTCTAACGCTGGTTGTAGTGTCTTAAGTTGCCGTTTATGGCGTCATATTTTTCTGCTAACCTAATATGACACCGTATAAAGCAACTAAAGACACCATAACAAATTTATTATGCCGAAAAGTTTACACTATTTGGTATCTTTGTCGCACATGTCATGTCAAAACTTAAAACTCAAAACTTAACACTTAGACATTAAGGGTCAAAGGGAGACTACTCTTTAAACCTCAGATTTGCAGTTGGTCAGTAACAACCATCTTGGATTTTTACTAACGGTACAGGCTCGTATGGGGTTTAGTAGTTGTGCTCTCTGATTGGTCAAACTCACTTTGAGGCATAATAAAAATTAATATGAGGATCGAATTTTTCAGTTATAGGTTACACTGTTGCATGTTTGATGTATCTAAATCGAGTCCTGAAAGGTGTAGATAATCCCAGTTACCGTACTTGGGTAATAAGCGCCCACAGCGATATTTGTTAATATGTTGGCTTGTGAACAATCTCAATTAGCACCCCTTCTGATTGATCAATGTACACACAACTTATTTATTCATGTATAATACTCACTCGTGTGTTATATGCACCCTTATTTATGGGCAATTAAATTCTGGAAAATATATCTGTCGTGTATAATACGCACAGACTTTTCTTTTGTATCATTTCAGGCTGTCAGCATAAACCACAAAATCTATAATCTTTCAACTGTTTTTTTCCCACTAAAATTATATTCTAATAAGAGACCCCTATTTCTTATTTTAAGAGCACCCTGGGCGCTTAATACGTCAAATACGGTATGCTTAATATCTTAACTATCTGAGCTACAGTTTATTAAAGAGATGATGAAAACGAAAAAATGTAGAATTAATATTTTTATTCTTGAATAATTTTAATAAAATGTATAATTGAAGAACAAACATTGGGTACAAAGTTGAAAGGCATGTATATAATTTGCATATTACAATTGTCCACATTCAAACCCATCTATTCACAGCGGAGAAAACCTCAAATTGGGGTGAGGATATCAATACTGAGAGTGTTATCAAAGTAAGTTACGTCTGACATGAGATAAGTCTGATGCTGAGGAAAAATGTATTTCAGCTTCATGAGACTATTTCAATAATATTCCGTTCAAATCACCAACAATAGAACGACAGAATGAACACAATTCCATAAAAATCATTAATAATCAGCTGAAACAATTTATCAACGCATCTCAAAGCTCAACAATTTCATACATAATGGGAAATTTTGCACCAAGACATTTCATAGAAACTGGTACTGAATAACATCCAATGTTTGGGGTCTGTTGTATAATATTTGTAACTATATGGCTGAAATACATCTTCCCTAGGCAAGGGAGTTAACTGACTGTAAAAGTCCACTTTTCACCCTTGCCTACCTAGGCTGGAATTAAGGAGTTATATTTTAGCTGGACTAACAAGTCTATGCATAATCCAATCAAAATCGCGTAATGAAATTGACATCCGGTTTGTTAACTGCCATGCAGATTTCGGTCGATTGCGGGATTAGCAAAACATGGCATCAACAGATATTTTCCAAATCTTTTCATGTTTTTTATCAAGGGGCATAGAAGGAACTGAACTTTTAATAGCCACTGGTGGTGCTATGATTGAGCCCCGTAATTCCAGCCTAGTTCGGCAAGGGTTGAAACTGGACTTTTATAGTCAGTTAACTCCCTTGCCATGGGAAGATGGCTGAACTATTTCCAATGCGCTTAAATATTAACACAGTCTAATACGGAAAACAAATAGACGCAAAATATGTGTGGTTTCTTTTCTTAGGCCAACCCAGGTAGGTGTTATTAAAAAGTATTTTCTTCTTTTAACTGGTTTATCTGAGTGTTAGTTTGTTTGCTGGTTGGTTGGTTAACACTGTACTCATCAATATTCCAGATAAATGATGTTGGTGTGTTTATATTTTGTTTGTTGGTTGATTAACACCACACTCTGCAAAATTTGAGCTATATGATGGTGCTTTATAAATGATCGAGTCTAGACCAGACAATCTAATGACATCACAAGCATCATCTACACAATAAGGATACCATGACATGCATCAGCAAAGTCAGCGAGCCAGACCACACGATCTGTTTATAGTTGCCTCTTACGACAAGCAGAGCTAACGGTATATTTAGTGAAGCTGAACAAAAACCTAGAGGCATTAAACAATGGCACTATCAGGACGGTAATATAATTTATGATGCAACTCTAGAAAAATGGGATTGCGTTATTCATTTTTTTCGTAAAAAGCACACTTTTTTTGTCAAAAGTTTTAACATCAAGTATATGATTTTGGCACAATGTAAAAAAAAAACATGGCTGGAAAACTAGGAACAACCAGACCAACGAGAATTCTACTGATGGTAGGTTAAAGCCATGTAGGAATCTCTGGCAGAAAACTACTTATGTACATGATGTACTATCTACTGGAAGATCAAAAAGTGAATATCTATAAAAGGTGAAATCGGAATGTCTGTAGAATTGGCTATAATGCTGTAGTTTACTGTCTGCTATCCTCAACAAAATTACTATCTACTGGAAGATCAACATACTATATACAGGTAGTGAGAATAAGAAGACTTTAATTTAACATGGTAAAAGGTTGTTTCTTAAAAAGTCATAGGACAAGTGGTAGAAGTAAAAAGAAGAATAAAATTGAAAAAACACATTTTTTAAAGTAGTTGTTTAAAGTAACATCATCTGGCACCTTGAATGTGTATCTTAAAGAACAGTAAAAACATTACTTTCCATATGAATGTTCTTTGGGCCTTTTCGTCATTCCCAAAATTTGTAACAGTCCTGCAGGAAAGAAGTAAATTGTTTTAGATAATAATACCTGACAAGTTTTATTACATGTTTTACAGATCTGCATGCAATTTTTATTCATTCTCCCAAAAGAAATAAAAAAATTGTAACCAGAACTTATCATGTTTGGTTACCATGGTTACACTGACAATTTGTTCTCACCAACTTGCTCCAGCTAAACCTCACACGAAGAGAATGGATAGCAATTTATCCCCCCAAAAGAACCTCCCAAATGTGGTCGTGTGTTATGCATAAATAAACACCTTAAGAGGCGCAAAGTGAAAAATTTAGAGTTCGATATCTATATTCACAGATTAATTGTCCTTCGTGTTTTTGGATATTTTGGGAAGAAGCATCCATGAAAGAAGGACCTGGAACTAAATTGGCCTGGACTTAATTCATTTATATTTTGGAGCACAAGGACATAATTAAAATAAAGTGCCTGAGGAATGTTTGGCAGCTCCAACCAATGCCTCAGTAAAATATCTGCAATATTAAAAGACAAGATCGTTGGAAGATGAACAAGTGACAGATTGGTGAGAATGCTGAAGTCCAAGGCAAACACAGACACTGTACACACTTCTTCTATCATCATTGTTATCTTGTAATTTTTTGTTTTACAGATTTTTGGCCCAAAATTCAGGTCAGTAAGTCGAAAAAAAATCATAAACAATATTCAAATTTCAAATATGTATGCTTAAAATTTCCTCTTTTGTCATAATTTGATTGTTTTTAAATTAATTATAAATTTAAAACAGGTTTAGTTATGGTACTTTATCTAACTTATTTATATTGATAGAGACAGTGCTTTTCATTTATTTAAAAACTTCACATTTTCAATTTTTTTAAGTCAGTGAATTCGTAAAACAAGTTTTTTAAAAAGTCTGGCCTAAAAAGACAAGAATGTCTGGAAGATGAAAAAGTGGCAGGCACCCTGAGAATGCTGAAGTTCAAGGATAACAATAGTGAACACGGGGGCTGTTCCAGTAATATCACAGCGTGTCAGCTTAATGTGTTAGGAAACACTGAACCGATGCAGGTCACAGACGTGCAACCCAGAACCATGGATATGGCTCTGACAAACCTAGAAACATAATCAGGGCGAACCTGGATTCAAACCCATGATCATAGGTTCCTGGTGTGCCCAAGGCACGCAACTCTGCACAGCGATTGGGAAGTTTTAGATGACTGGGCCACTCCTGCCCCCTGAAAGAATCAAGAAACTGAGCTAGACACAAAGTGACCATAGCAACCTCGAAACACGACTATAAAACCTAAAAATGGTAAACTACCTTGTACTTTCGTCACATTAAAAACACGATGTTTCCTTAAAAATTACTTCATTATAGCTCATCCAAGACATAAAAAAATCATGAAAGGTAAAAGATGAAAATTATTACATCATTTTGTTCTGCAGTCGGTTTATACTTATTGTCTTGGATCAGCCATATTCACTACATATGGTTAAAACATACTGCCACTGTCTTCCATATAAGGAGGAATCTCCACAAAGCATTGAGCCATGACATTAACAAGTGGCATCCAACTATGTAAACATGATGTGGAACATTTCAGTATTACATGGTTAAAACAATTTGCATATTTTGCCAACAGTTGATTTCCTGGACCGGACAGAGTTATCTCCCTGCTCAACACAGTGCCCCCTAGTGCCTAGTATCTGCATTATGCAGTTTGAATCATCAAAATCAGATCTTAGTGTTCAATACTGCTAAACAAAGACCTGAGGACATCTCTCATTACAGGTCACATCAGAACGATCTTTGCGAACTTTGACATAAATGGCAAAGTCATATTGTCTGATATCTGATTGGCATGTTAACAAGATTGTTAGGAAGGGCATCAACTTGGCTATTTGGAATGACAAATGTATAAATCCTGAAGGTTTAAGTTCTTGTACACAGGACAGCTGAAAGATCATAGTTGGAGAATTCACATGCTATGTTCACATGTTTGAAACAATACTGACTAGAGACATGACCTGATTTTGGGTAATGTCGAGATTCAGTGAGTACCGATATGCATGATACTATGTGTGCACGTTCTGTGCTGGTCTTCAGGATGCGCTGCTGAAAGATGTGATCATTCAATCATCAGATTATCAGACAAGAATCATCATCATCACAGAATTACCATTCCTCCTTCGAAGAACCATAACAACCTTGAGAAGCAGTCATCATTCAACACATCAACAAATGGCGACAGTTCATCTTTCAACATGTCAATAGATGGCAAAGTTCATCATTCAATACATCAACAGAAGGCAACAATTCATCATTCAACAGATGGCGACAGATCATTCAACAGATGGTGAAGTTCATCTTTCAACATTTGGTGACAGTTCATCATTCAACACATCAACAGATGGCAACAGATCATTCAACACATCAACAGAAGGCAATCTCATTCAACCCACTATCGGCTGACCTTTCATCATTCAACACATCAAAGGGTGACTGTCTATCATTCTACACATCATAGGGTGACTGTCAATCATATAAAATAAAATCTTCCTCTGATCCAATACCTGCCTGCATTAAAATCTGAGGACATCACCGTCCTTGACGCACAGGGGTATCGTTACACATCAGATTCTAATGATAATGATAATCAGTTATCATCGCCAGGGAAGGGCATGTGTTCAAACATATAGTTCCAGCCCAGTTTGTTGAGGTAGCGGTATCCTTTGCCCTCCAAGTACTCGACGGTAGTGACGATTGGTTCACTGTTATGAAGCTGTTCATATATAATGTATGCAGGCTTAAAGCCAAGGTCCATCCACTGGTGCAGCAGCTGAAACAGAATGCAGTAACATGATTGGTTGGTTGGTTTGTTGTTTAACGCCGCACTCAGCAATATTCCAGCTGAATGATGGCGGTCTGTAAATAATCAAGTCTGAACCAGACAATCCAGTGATTGACAGTGAGTGAGTGAGTGAGTGAGTGAGTATGGTTTTACGCTGCTGTTAGCAATATTCCAGCAATATCACGGCGGGGGACACCAGACATGGGCTTCACACATTGTACCCATGTTGGGAATCGAACCCAGGTCTTCAGGTTTAACCACTCGGCTACCCCACCGCCCCTTAATTGTGCAAAGGCAAGCTTCCTGTGAAAACTATTGGGATAGTCCTAGCATTTGTGGCATCAGCCCATCTTCAACAGATCTGTGTTTGCCAGCAGAAATTACCTTATCTCCTAATCCTTCAGCATCAAGGGAGAGAACTCCAAATGTCTTCGGCACATTGTATCTCCTTGCAAACGTCCTCACTGTCAGACTAGGCACCTTCACAATAAAAGGATGTTTATTTTTGGTCTGTTCGTATTGATAACTCTTCATGGCATGGCTTTCCATTTTGTCCACAGAACTTGACAACACAAAGTCAACCATGCCATCCTTGTCGGACAGGATTCCTTGTACCAGGGTCAGGTTCTGTTTGCCCTCATTGTATGGGTCATGGTTCCTGAAACAGTGATGTACACAATGACATAATAATATACTGTAAATCTTAAAATTAACACGAGCGTGAATTAAATGCGAAAAATGCGAGTGGTCTTTGCTCGCATTATTAAACATCGCATTTCTATCAACAATAAGACATTTCGGATAGTAGAAATACCAACTCAGACATACGCTGAAAACAAACAACTATGTATTCCACATCACTGTTTATTGAACAGCACTTGTAACAAGTATATAAACAATGCCATTCAAACACTAATTACATCCTGTGAATTGTCACTGCTGGGGTCAAGACAAGAGTTCTACACACTTGTGTCATCACTGATCACACCTGAAAGTCCAGACAGACGCCACCCACGCAACACGGTGTCTTTGTTCTTTGCAACTGCGTCAAAGGTCGACACGAGCCAGCGCGCATGTATTGTTTTTGCGGAAGTACTCTACTCAGCGCTAATGAGCAGTGCTATTTGGTGTGTGATTGGATTAATGTAAGGTTGGATGAGGGTGAGGATTCTCCTGTAAACCTGACAGAGGACATTTTCTTTAGATATAAATCCACTGATGCTTGAGAGGAGGGGGTGTCGCATTCATATTGAGTCGCATTATTGGCTACGGTCCAGCGGTCACATTCTTTTGGAGACACATTAATTTTACGATTTACAGTATGATAACCTGAGCAGGGGTAGAAATTAAGAAGGTCTACTAGCCTGAATAATGATAACATATAGCAATACCCACCAAAAGGTAGAATAGGTCTTCAGCAACCCATGCATGCCGTAAAAGGTGACTATACTTGTCGTAAGAGGTGACTAACGGGATTGGGTGGTCAGTTAGCCAGACTTGGTTCAGAGCTCCAGATAACATTTTGAGCAATTGAGTTTTTAAGCTTTCTATTTTAATTGGGTTACTATATTTTTCATTGGGTAACTAATATTTTGTCGCTAATCTATTCATCAATCCATTGGGTTTTTCCAAAAATTAGTGAGCCTTTTGAGATTTAAAAAAAAGAGGAAATAATGTTTTAGATGTATATAACGATTATATACATATAGGCTTGACTAGGGAAATATATTAGCTCGTAATTGTGTTTCGGAAATTTGCTCCATTGTACATGTTGTATGCATGCTGAAAAATCTTCATTTATTGTTTTCAAACAATTAAGTTTTTCAGTTAATGCATGGGTTTCTGTACGCAAGTTAATTGAAAGTAATTGGGTTTTTAATAGTTTTGGTGGGGTATTTTACGCAAATACGCAGCTTATCTGTACTCTATTGGTTGATGCATGTCATCATATATCAATCGCGTGGATCCATGCTCATGATGTCAATCACTGAATTGTCTGGTCCAGACTTGATTATTTACAGACCACCGTCATATAGCTGGAATATTGCTGAGAGCGGCGTTAAACAACAAACCAACCATCAAGCAACCCACCAAAATGTTTGAAATCATACTGGCCCTTAGGAGGGGGCACAGGTGACCTAGTCGTCTTAGGTGCTGCGATTCGCTGTGAAGAGTTGTGTCCCTTGGGCGTGCCAGGAACCTATGATTTTGGGTTCGAATCCCAGTTCGCCCAGATTATGTTTCTATGTTTGTCAGCACAATACCCATACTCGTGGGTTTCACCAAGGTGGTACACCGAAACTACATCAATGTTTGCCTGTTTCTTTTAGAGTCTCTGGATTTTGTGGCTAACTATTCCAATGTAGTTTTCAAGAGAAGTCATACCATTCAGAACACAATAAAAGCCACAGGGAAACCACCATCCAGTCACGAGCTAGAACCATCAGCAGCAGTGTACCACATTCCGTGCAATTGTGGACAAGCTTACATAGGAGAAACATCTAGAGCCGACAAAACCCGAATAAAAGCTCAGTCTCCAAAGATGACTCTAAATCAGCTCTATCAGACCACATCCGTGACAACCCAAGCCACAGCATTCAGTGGGAGAGAGTCACAGCCCTCACCACCAACCTCAAAGACTTCAAGATCAGGAAACTACAGGAGGTGAGGTGAAATTGGGTTTAACGTCGCGTCCAAGATTATTGCACTTATATAGCGACGTGCATGCACGTGTATGTGTGTGTGTGGCTGCTTGTACTAGTCCGGACTGATGCCGATTTATAGTGCTAGCTCACTGAGATACCATGCCGCAGTTTAACATGAATACCCCACCCAGACACAGTATACTGACTCCGAGCCGACCAGTCCTTGTTTTAGCCCCTTAATGACGAGCGCCAGAGAGGGTAACAACAAGTACAATCTTTTAACGTCTTTTTGTATGACATGGCCCGGGATCGAACCCCGGACCTTCCTCTCTCCGGGCGGACGCTCTACCACAAGACCACGGAGGCGGTCAGGAAACTACAGGAAGCCATCAACATCAAAAGACTTCAGCCCTCAATCAACCGTGACCAAGGCTACTACATCCCCCCCCCCCCCCCCCCCCCCCGGGCGTACCATCAACTCATGAAAGACCCCAATCAGCCATAATCCCGTTGTTTATATTACTGGCTTCATCCTTTGTTTATGTCACTGACTTCACAGATGATTGTCATCACTACCCTTGTGTGTACATAACAGGCTTCTCTACTCCAGTATAACAATATCTACTCTACTGTATAAACATTGCCTCCTACTTGTATATATACTTGCCAACCACACTCTGTATATCACTTGCTTGATAACAGTGTTAGAACTTACACCGAAATGTCGCTCTTAATTGTAATAAAGAAGTTGTTCATCCATACATTCTTATCCTTACTTAGTACTCCAACTTCTAAATTCCTATCAAAGAAGTAATCCTTACTATTTATTGTCTACTTATGAAATTATGAAACGCATGACGCGTTGCTTAGCATTTCTTTTGGTCAGAAGTCTGACTACTTAAACAAACCATCTGTCAATGTGGAATCTCATCGGTCTATGACCGGTGACCAATGGCCATGTGAAACTCTGAACATTTTTTAAAAATAATCAGGTTTCAGAACAAATTCCGGCGCAGTTAGTGACTTGGCATAACCCCACTGCCACAGGCTAATTTGCATACCACGTGACCAGACTTTTTCAGAAATCAGAATAGAACGGACTAATGCAAGTATCTCGGGGCGCTTTACATTTTCTTTGGCATAATTATATAGATATGCCACTACCACTGCGACAGTGAGTTGCATGAGAATACATATTTACACATCAAAGTGACAGTATCGCTAGCCCTCCGTAGAGCTTCGATGACAGCAAGTGGAGCCGTACAACCAATGTAAACATAGGATAACTACGCAAATGGAAATATTTTTTTCACCATTTAGGATATTTTCTCAATGAAACTTAACCATTCTATGACATATGTTTATCAAGAAGTGTAGACTTATCAAAAATGAAACAGATGAAAATCGTGCAACATCTTGAATGGACTGTGTAAGACGTGACGAATTGTCACATGGGGCTGGCCTGTGGCAGAGGTACTATGCTGGTCGCATGGAACTCTGGGTAGGAGAATGGTTTCAGAAAAGTTCTACTGTACCTCTTGTTGTTCAGCTTGGCCAAGTTGATTTCATGTGACTGTGGCTCTACTAGTATCGCGCTCCATCCCCACTGTAGAAAGTTAAAAGAGTTACTAGAAACAAGACCGTCATTGGCGCCAATGTCAACAATGAGACGCGTATAGGGGAAGTCAGTCCGAGACTGTATACGTCTGTACAGGAATGTGGCTTCACGAGCGTTCGACACATCGATTCCTAAGAAACTCAGACGAGGTTGTGATATTTTGTCGTTCCCACTGCTTGGATTCGATACGATGTATATTCGCCCTATCGTCTCTTCCATCATCTTGGCAAATCCTCCGTTCCTGCCCACTCCCACAATTTCCTGCAATAGATAGTCAGAGAATAAGTGAACTTATGGGCTATGAGGTGAGTGAAAACATAGCGTTCCACATTATTGAATGTGTGTGTATGTGTCTGCTAGGGGTGACTATTGGTCTGGAAAACACTATTGCAATAACTATTGATATTGAAAGAAACTATTGCGGTAACTATTGATATTACAAGCAACTATTGCGATAAATATCGATAGTTTTCAGTGTATCATTTTAGATGGATTTTAGAGTTGAATTAAATCTTGGAACTCAAGTTTCTTTTGAATGTGATAACAATAACAACAAATAAAAAGTTAAGTTTGAAATATGACTGATTTGTTGTTTTTTTACCATGTTTACCCTAATAATTTAAAAAAAAGGAAATTCATGTGTAAGTAACTCCCACACTCATGATCAAAAGAAAAACAAATTTGTACAGCATTGCATGTAATTAATTGATGTATTTAATACAATCGAAACTATCAATATTCCTAACTGAAATCGATACTATTGATCGGAAACTGATTTAACAATCGATTAATTGACTTTAAGTGCTTCCCAATAGCAATATATCGATATTTCGATTTATTGTGAAACCCCTTGTGTCTGTTTGTACTTGTTCGGACTCATGCCGGTTTTATAGTGCTTGCAACAATACCATGCCTCAGTTTAACATAATTACCCCACTTGGACACATTTTACTGACTCTTAGCCGACCAGTCCTTGTTTTATCCCCTTAATGTCGAGGGCCAGACAGGGTAACAACAAGTACCATCCACGCTTTTTGGTACCTCACTGCTTTGGGATAAAACCACTGACCTTCCACTTTCTGGGCAGACACTCTATCTACTAGACCACTGGGGTGTGATCATCTTCCCGAGGCAAGGGAGTTAACTGACTATAAAAGTCCAGTTTCCACTCTTGCCAAACTAGGCTGGTTTTATGGAGCTATATTGTGGCTGGACTAATGAGTCTATGCATTGTCCAATCAAAATCGCGTTACGAAATCGACATCCAGTTCGTAAACCGCCTTGCAGATTTCGGTCGATTGCAGGATTTGCAAGGCATCTGTACTCAGTGTCAACAGATATTTTACGAATCTTTTTATGTTTTTAACCAAGGTGCTCACCTGATTTGATACACTCCGCAAAATGTAAGACCCATTTTATAAATTATGGATTTTGATTATTGATCTGATCATTTTGACTAGGAGCCTCCATTTTGTTTGAATTAAATGCAAGTGATGTTTTGTTTTGTTTGTTTGTTGTTTAACGCCGCACTCAGCAATATTCCAGATATATGATGGCGGTCTGTAAATAATCGAGTCTGGACCAGACAATCCAGTGATTGACATCATGAGCATCGATCCACGCAATTGGGATACGATGATTTGCATCAACCAAGTGCAAGTGATGTGGGAGGTGGAATCTGATTGGTCAGTGGGAGGGACATATAGGGATAGAACATGCAACAGCCACTGGTGGAGCTACGATTGAGACCAGAAATTCCAACCAAATTCGTCAAAGGGTGAAACTGGACTTTTATCGTCAGTTAACTCCCTTGCCTCAGGAAGATGGGGCGTGATATGTATATCTGAATTGTTTGTTGATTGCACGTCCTTGTATCCCAATTGTGTGGATTGATGAATCATGCTCATGATGTCAATCAATGGATTATCTGGTCCAAACAGTTTCACATAGGGCACTTATCACAAAATCAACACCCAGACTTAGCGTTACCATGATCAGTGTCCGAAATAATCATGGTAACTGCCTGCCTGCTCATGACTGGTAACTTTTCTGTCGGCTGCATGAAATATTGCTCCACCTCCCCGACTGTCTGGCAGATGACTACTTATGTAATCAGTTTTATTATAACTTCTTGTAGATTCTCATGTTTGCATTATTTCAACTTAATCAAGAAGTGATTTGTCTCTTAGTTTTGCGATTTTTCAATATTTATAATGTCTGAATGCGGGCTGGTAACTTAGAAGATGGACAGGCAACACTTATGGGTCACCTGCTTGACTTGTTGGGTGTTAAAATTATTTCAAAAGCTGACCATGATTACCGTATTCGACGTAATAAGCGCCCAGGGCGCTCTCAAAATTAGAAATAGGGGGCTCTTATTAGAATATTATTTTGGTGAAAAAAACAGAGTTGAAAGATAAATTTTGTGGTTTATGCGGACAGCCTGAAATGTTTATATACGACAGATAATTTTTCCAGAATTTAATTGCCCATAATTGAGGGTGCATATTACAGACGAGTGCGTATTATACACGAATAAATAGGTCTTGTGTACATTGATCAATCGGAAGGGGTGCTAATTGGGATTGTTCACTAGCCAATATATTAGCAAATATCGCCTTGGGCGCTTATTAGAGCGGGGCACTTATTACGTCGAATAGGGTATATAACTTACAGAAGGTATCACATGACCAGACTTTTCTCTTGTTTGTATACATGGTAAACAAACATGCTTATATTGAAACCAGAGCAGTCTAGGCTTATGAAAGAAATTCATTGTGATTAAAAAGATATGCTACTACAACTTTGACACCAAGGAGTGTGACCATATATCTTTACACATCAAAGTGACCCTTTTGTTAGCTTCAACACCTGCACTTGGTAGCCGCACAAACACAGTCTGGACAGCAAACCAAGGACAGATATGCAAATGTGTAAGTTGGAATGTAGGGCTGGGAGGGGGAACTCGGGTCGGGTGGGTACTAGGGCTGTTACGATTCACTCGCGTATTCGGTGAATCGAACCGTATCCATTCATGAATTGAATTCGTTATTCGTGGTCGCTATTATATGCAGAGATTTCTTTGATTTCTTTGAAGAAAACACTCATATATATATAATTTGACAGTATTGTGGTCATCAGTCATTGTGGTATTTGAGCAGATTCTAGTACCTGGATAAATGCAGTACATATAAATGTATTTAATATATTAATAATTAACCAACCATGTCAGATAATTAATGTTATTATTTTTCACTGAATAGAATAAATTGTACATCAACTGCTGACTTGTTATTGTATTCGTGAATAAATATTCGTATTCGTTACCCTATATTCATGATATGAATCGTATTCACCTCATAGTGTATTCGCTGCAGCCCTAGTGGGTACTGAGTATAGGACTTGGATATCCACAGGACTACCCGGACCCGTGGTTAGTCACGTGATATATTGTTTAATGACAAATATTATCTAGAACTCCATGGTTACACAACAAGTCACTGATGTTCACATTCCTGTCTGACTATGCATGCATTCCTTCATATATATGAATAAAGATAAAGCTTCAGTCAACTTCAGTGCATGCATGACCAGATGGTTTTATATCTGTATCTAAATACATTGTTCACGTCTACAGTCAAACTATTCCCAATTGGACATCTTGTACCCATCTCTTGAGACCTACATCGGGTACCAGGTAGGGTAATAGGGGGCGGGTCCCCGGGTAGTAAATTTGGACCCAGAGCTACAGATAAGCAGCGTATTTGTGTAAAATACCAAAAAAAAACATTCAAAACCCAATTACTTTCAATTACCTTGCATACAAAAATGCATGCATTAAATGGAAAATTCAAATGTATAAAAACTTACAGCATGTGTAAATACCCAATAAAGCTTTTTCAGCATGCGTATGTAGCAGGGCGTGGAGTCATCCTACAGCTAGATGACATCCTTACCTTGTCAGCTTGCTGAGGGGGTTAACCTCTTTGGTCATTGTGGACAAGGCGTCCGACCTCTAATCAGCATCCCATCACGGGACTTGGAAATTTTATGGCCGCTACATTGGCGCCCAACGTGGGGCTGAACCCATTCATATTAAATTTGAGCAAAATAAGCCTCAGTACGCTACTATGCGGCCCGGGACATGCCTTCTGTTGACGGGGGAGTATGTAGCAGGGCGTGGAGTCATCCTACAGATGACATCCTTACCTTGTCAGCTTGCTGAAGGGGTTAACCTCTTTGGTTATGTGGACAAAGCGTCCGACCTCTGATCAGAAGGTCCATGGGTCGAATCCCATCACGGGACTCGGAAATTTTATGGCCGCTACACGTACAAAGGAGCTAATTTCCGAAACACAATTTCCGTGACTGTAAGGTGGGCCAAACAATCACCTTTGTAGAGATACTAAGTGGATGAAAAGGAACTCCGGTCAGGGAATGTCGCAAAATCCAGATTTAGAGTTGGGCTGGGACGAGTCCAAATTTACTACCTGGGTACCCACCCCGCTATTACCCGCTACAGGTCTCAAAAGTTTGGTACAAAATGTCCGATTGGAAATAGTTTGAGCGTAGCCCTGGTAAAATGTACTGAAATATATTTATATGTATAAAACGATCTTGTCATGCATACACTGAAGTGTTATTTTTATTCAAACGTATAACGGTCAGAAGCAATGGTGCTTAGTCAGAATTAAAGAAATGCAAACATTAGTGACTTGTAGTGAAACCATAGAGTTCCAGATATTTTTTTATCATTAAACAATATATAACGTGACTAACCACGGGTCCGGGTATAGTCCTGTGGGTACCCGGGTCCTACTCAGTACCCACCCGACCCGAGTACCCGAGTTACCCGTCCCAGCCTTACTACAGAGATACATGGAGGGTAAGACAAGCCCCCCCCCCCCCCCCCCTTTTATTTCGAAAAAAATCTTTATTTCTGTATAAATTACCACCAAAGACAATAAATAGATCTTAATTGTGCACCCCCCCCCCCCCCCCCCCTTTTCAAAAAAGCTGTATCCGCCCATGTGCGGTATTGTCTTTACTTTACCTGGAATTTCTTATTATTCATTAACTTATCCATGAGAGAATTCCCAGGAGCATCCAGCACCGTTGATAACTCCTTCCTCACCGACATCAGCGCCACAAGCACCAGGGTGTTGAACACAACAATCTCGACAACCACAATCACCAGAAAGGCATAACACAGACATTTGCACAGACCGCGGTTACGGCATACACTCAGTTTGAGTGCCATGTTACCACAGTGCAATTTCGGAGACATCCAACTACGGAAGTGATCGAATGGTCAACATCGACAATCGGGTCCACAATCGGAACATCAACTTCACTCTCTCCGGCTGGCTGTCAAGTATCATTGCTCGTTAACATGGTCAGGTCAATTTCTCCACAGAAACAACCCCTTAATGTCAGATTGCAGATTGAAATGGAGAAATGACAAATGGAATCCCCCGTTAGCCTACGTCAGTCACTGACATCGTAGATCCGGGACTGACTCTACACCAGTCCTTGCTTGATGGGGTGTGCTGAAATCCGAGGAAACACGCTATGGGTACATAATGAGAGTTACCTCCCCTGCTGAAAACTGTCCCCAAGTATTGATCGACAACTTGATCAAGTTGATGTGTCGAAGCAGAACATAGCCCAGACTACGAAAGTCATCTAGTCACATGTATACAGTGTCTTGAACAATAATTAACATTTGAGATTTGAAAGATATGTTTCGGACTAAAGTCTTTATAAACAACTTGAATATATAGCCAAAATAACAAACATTAAAGGGGCACTGATCTAAGGCACTTCCCCTGACAGGATGTTGCCTCTGTTATTGTTCCCCCCCCCCCCCCCGTGAGTACCCGGAGGATACGCAACGCAACTGAGCGTGACCAGAGACTGGGCTACCGTCTGCAAGGACAGCTAAATAAACTTGTAGGCTGGAGGCAATATTTGTTTTACGCATTTTTGAATTTGATATTCCAGTTTTGATCATTTTTTTGTTTTCTCATCTTTACGTTTCAGATAAAGCTATTGATAAGAAGCTGAATATTAAATACCATCCTCGATTGTACAGTGTATTATCACGATAGAATGAAGATTTTGCCACAGAATGGAGATGGTAACAGCGTGGATTATCGAGGATGTACATTCGTATGGAGAGGTAAATTATTAGTAGCGCTACGACTGTTGTAAGTCTATGTTAAAGTTTGGAGTTACGATCGTCTTAGCACTAACGTCGTGTTGTGGAACGTGGCCCAGGGCACACTAGGACAAATACACTGGATTGTATTCCATTCTGTAACAGTTGGTACACATCGTATCATTAAAGTCTTCAAAGACAGCTGAGCAAGAGAACTGAGCACCGAAAACAAGACAACCTTAGATATTACCAATTGGAAAATTATATACCGTATTCAACGTAATAATTAAGCGCCTAGGGCGCTCTCAAAATTAGAAATAGGGGTCTCTTATTAGAATATTATTTTAGTGGAAAGAGTTGAAAGATCGAAAATGGCGTGGTTTATGCTTACAGCCTGAATGTTTATATACGACAGATATACGTTTCCAGAATTTAATTGCCCATAATTAAGGGTGCATATAACAGACGAGTGCGTATTATATTATACGCGAATAAATAAGTCATGTGTACATTGATCAGTCGGAAGGGGTGCTAATTGGGATTGTTCACTAGCCAATACATAAGCAAATATCGGCGTGGGCGCTTATTAGAGCGGGGCGCTTTTTACGTCGAATACGGTATATATTTTGTATATTTGTTTTGTCCCAGACCACTCAAAGTACATGTACACAGGTACACATTCTGGGCTTATTTGCACCGTCGCCATAATGGAATGATTGTCAGAATGCAATCCCTGATGGGTAGGGGACATTTGAACTTTGAGCATATTTCTCTCAAAACAAATATCAACTGTACATTTTCTTTTAGAAGTGGGAACACGAGAAACCGAAAAAATGCTGTTTCCACTTTTACAATTAAAATAGTTTTATGACGCCACGCTACTGTTATGAACACACAACGCCATTTTAGAAAGTGGTCAAATGTAACAAATGTACTACTATTTTTTTTTAGTCCCATCCGGGATTCGAACCCACACTGCCAGAGTGGAGTACCTTATCGCCAGCACCAGTCGCAAGCTGTGTCCTTTGAGAATACCAGAAACCTAGACACACCGTAACAACGTAAGTCGATTACTGTAAAAACGGCGTTAAACCCCTCACTCCCTATCCTAGTATATCTCTTTCATACCCCCCACCCCCACCCCCAAACAAAAATAAATAAATAAATAAATATATATTGGGTGACCCTTCCCTGATTTCGTCAGACACAACCGCCCACCCACGCACCCACCCAACTCCGCCCCTGGGTAGTGAACGTGAAGTAATAATGCTGACTGTCACGAAATGTGAGATTACATAACGCTACTTCACATGCACTTATACTTATTGCACGATGGCATTTTATTCCTGTTATTCATTGCTATGTAGACCCCGAGGGTTACGACCATCGTTAAGAAGTGCTTCCGGGACTATGAGAGCGTACAAATACATACACAAATATACAGAGGATATTTGCCTAATTAATCACGGAATGACCTGATTCAGCCGGGGTCAGCTTTGTCAGGTTCTAAACCAAACGTTTTAGTCATCTTTGAGTGTGTTACTGGTTTTAGTCTGTTGGGTGTTTTGTTTGTTTGTTTGTTTGTTTGTTTGTTGTTTAACGCCGCACACAGCAATATTCCAGCGACATGACAGCGGTATTTCAATAATTACATATTACTGTGGGATGACAAAGCGAAGTGATGCAGCTTTCAGACGTTGACCTCTTTGGTTAAACCCACGTAAAGCGGGATTTGAACCGTCAATCATAGGTTCCTGGCGTGCCCAAGAAACGTAACTCTGCACAGCGATTTGCGGCGCCTTAGACGACTGCACCCAACCCCTCCCCCAACCTCAACCCCAACCCCTCCCTCAACCCCCGTGAGAAGCCCATTGATGTTGCTGGAAATTGCTAAAATCGGCAAGGGAGTTACAGTCAGGCCGTTGCACATAGCACTACGGCTGCCGCAAGTCTATGTTAAAGTATGGGAGTTACGAACCCCTTTGCGCTGAAATATCTTTGTGCGACGGGGCCCAGGGCCCAGTACCACAAACCAGTCTTAGCACGACGGCGATCGTAACTCTCATACTCTAATATATAGACTTACAACAGTTGTAGCGATGAGGTCGCTTTGTTGAACGAGTTCCAGCGACGGTATTCACAACGTTTCTTAGATTTTTCTTCAGCAGTAAAATTCTGAAGATATCCAATATGGCTGCCATGAACTTAAAAAACATTCTTAGCTAAGAATTTTAAATATAACTTAATTCAAAACTTTAGAAAATTCCTGGATTATTTGTGGATTATCAATATCTGTAGCAGACACGACCCTTATTAGAGGTCGGGATCTTATTTCAACATCTGACGACTATGCTTACTCTAAATAGAGTAAATACTATATGTGCCGTTTTCTCTCGTCAACCATCGTGTGATTGATGCCCATTGAGATATACAACGTGACCTTGACAGAGTATACAGCCCGCGTGACTCGATGCAATGAACATGACTGCCCATGCACCAATTCTGAAATTGGATCTGGCGCATATATATAATATACGATGACCTTGAGATGGTGCCATGTACTCGGGTAAAAGTATGTGAGTTACACTCGAATCAGCAATGTTGTTGTCACATCGGATGAAATCATGTGATCGAGTGTATCAAAGTTATATCATAGCAATTTAACCAAAAGAATGCGTAATTATGATGTTTATAACTGTTTGAAACACCGTATCCAGGCAACCAGCAACCAGGGTTCGGTAGCCTTTGAAATTCAGGTTTGTCCACTAGCCCAAACCTACTAAATTGTGCTGAGGACAAGTAAAACCCAAAGATGTTAGTCTTCATTGACAAGAGGCATTTGATACCCGATCTTCAGCAACAGTAACTATGCTTCTCGTAAGAGGTGAATACCAGGATCGGGTGGTCAGGCACGCTGACTTGGTTGATCCATGTCATCGTATCTCAATTGCGTTGATCAATGCTCACGGTGTCAGTCACTTGACTGACTGGTCCGACTCGATTAGTTACATACCGCCGTCATACATCTGGTATAGTGCTGAGTGCGGCGTTAAACAACAAACAAACAAACAAACAGTAGCATCTGAGAGCTCCAATTGTGAACCTATTCCCCATGCTTCATTTTTGCCACCAGTTGGAACAGAATAAAACATGTCAGCGAGCCTGACCACCCGATCCCGTTAGTCGCCTCTTACGACAACCATGGGTTGCTGAAGATCAATTCTAACGTCTAACTCACACTTTTATCAAGCGTGGACACAGCGTTTTGAAAAAAAAGGTGGATGCATTTTAAATTACGAAAAAGAAAGAATAACTGTCACTAAAATTATTTTCTTTATGTTTTCCTTATACGTCATAGTATTTCGGTGTCTTTGTGTCGGTCTGTGTTGGCCTCGTGACCACCCGGTATCACGGAGTTTTAGGACGTTGAAGGATTGTCATCCAAAATTGCCTGTAGATTTTGTTTTATCCAAATTTGAAATGATATTATAATGTCTTGCAAAAGAAATAACGAAGTTCATCTTCCCTAGGCAAGGGAGTAACTGACTGTAACTTCCTTGCCTCGGGAAGATGACAGGAGTTCGCCATGCTTATAAATATTGCTATTATGGGTATAGTTTACCTTGGGTGATATTTAATCTCATGACAACAAAGCTGCAGGGGTCGAATCACTAGCCTATTTCCACATACAACATTCTATGGACTGGGCTCGTATGCAGCACACTCTCAAACACATATACATAATGTATATATGTATATACGTGATATAATTATATTTATTTTATGTCGGTACACTATAGTTAGAACATCTCCCTCATTGCCAAGAGTCAATATTCATTTATTGCGATTTTAGCAAATTCCAGCAACATCAATGGCTACACGCTTTGTACCCATGTGGGAATCAAACCCGGTCCTTTGGCGTGACGATCGAACACTTGAACAACGATGCTACCATGCCGCGCCTGTAATACTGGATTTTATTATGTATATATATTTTTTTTTAAAAATTTTTATTCAGTCATATACACAGGATACATAAGCACTCGAAAAGCAATACAGCTTTATGAATACAGGTACTTCTCAAAAGGATATGGTACAGAGGAGGCTTAAGGCATAATCCACATCATGGTACAGATGAAGGCATAATCCACATCATGGTACAGATGAAGGCATATTTATGTATACAATTAAGAAGATGCGGTATTTATGGTACATCAAATTATGTTGCAAACATCAAGTGAATAAGTTATTTTGCAGGTTGGGTAAACAAAGCCCATTTTCTATTAAAGGCAGAGAAGTCGTTATTTCAACGTGCAATATGATATTCAACGTCATAGATACTTCTTATTGTGTTCTTAAAAGCAACAAAGTCAACATTTTCATTCTTAATACACTGGACAAAGATAAATCTTTTAGCAGCTACAATCAAATGGTTAATTAATACATCAGAGGTACCAAAGAGGAGCTCGTTGTCAGTTATAAGGATTTTTCTATGCAAGATATGAGTCAAGTAAATACAGAAATCTGACCAAAAACAACATGACATTCGATATCAACATGAAAAATATTTTCTTTGTGAGTATGACACATAGAACACTCATCGTTATCAATAAGTTTCATTCTTAATAACTCACGTTTAGTAAATATTACTTTATGAATAAATCTAAACTGGAAATCCCTGAGTTTTGTGTCCCTTAACCCATGGCAATATAAACTGAATATTTGATTCCATGGAAAAGAGCATTTTATTATGTATATAGTGAGGAAACACTATCTGAAAACACAAAATGGGTACACTACAAAAAATGGGTGTTTAGATCGTTTAGGTAACTAAACGGATTTTGTTTAGAAACAAATCGTTTACGTTTTATATCTAAACAATTTCCATTTAGTCGCCTTACTCGGTACCGTTTAGATATTAAACATTTACTGTTCAATACACATATAAAGCAAATATTAAAAGGAAGTCTTAAAGAACTTATTTCAAATTAACAATTATCGTTTTGTTTCAGACTGCCTCAATGAAACGACAGTCGTTTGGGGAGGGGGTACTACACTCAACAGGACCCGTGAAGATCCGGGGTAGAATAGGTCTTTTGCAACCGTTACTTGCTGTAAAAAGCGACTATGCTTGTCGTAAGAGGCGATTTACGGGATCGGGTGGTCAGGCTCGCTGACTTGGTTGATACATGTCATCGTATCCCAATTGCGTGGATCGATGCTCATGATGTCAATCACTGGATTGTCTGGTTCAGACTCGTTTATATACAGACACATCGCATTTACATTTACCGTGATATAGCTGTAATATTGCTGAGTCCGACGTTAAACAACAAACAACACTCAACAGACTAAAATCAGTAACACACTCCAAGATGAATAGAACGTTTGGTTTATAACCTAACAAAGTTGACCCCGGCTGTATAAGGTCACACCTTGAGACAAACATATCACGGCATTTATTAATGACAAGACTAGGCAAATGTCCTCTCTATTTTTGAGTTTGTGTTACAGTCCCGGATGCACTTCATAACAATCTCGACCGCCTCCGTGGTCTAGTGGAAGAGCGTCCGCCTGGAGAGCGAAAGGTCCGGGGTTCGATCCCCGGCCGCGTCATACCAAAAGACGTTAAAAGATGGTACTTGTTGTTACCCTGTCTTGCGCTCGGCATTAAGGGGTTAAAGCAAGGACTGGTCGGCTCGGAGTCAGTATACTGTGTCTGAGTGGGGTATTCATGTTAAACTGCGGCATGGTATCTCAGTGAGCTAGCACTATAAATCGGCATCAGTGCGGTCTAGTACAAGCAGCCACACACGTGCATGCACGTCGCTATATAATTGCAATAATCTTGGACGCGACGTTAAACCCAATTTCACCTCACCTCACCTCATAACAATCTCATTAAAATCAAGTTCTCGCTGCGGCTAAACAAATGGTCATAACCCTCGGGCTCTATATAGCAATGAATGACAGGAATATATTGTCACCGTGCAATCAGTATAAGTGCATATGAAGTAGCGTTATGTAATCTAACTTTTCGTGACAGTCAGCATTTTTGCTTCACGTGCCTGCAAGCGTCTATTACCCTGGGGCAGTTTGTGGGGTGGGATGAGGCAATCAGGGAAGGTTCACCCCAAAACAGTCTGATCGGACTACACATTGTTTTTAAATTATTTTTTATTTATTTATTAATTTATTTTGGAGGGGTATTGGGGGTGTCATGGGCAAGATACACAGGGAGTGAGTGAGTGAGTGGGTGGTTTAACGCCGCTTACAGTAGTCGATTTATATCACGGCGTGTCAGCTTAATGTGGTAGTAAAGTCCGAAGTGATGCAGGTCTCAGACGTTTACCACTTCAGTGAAACCCACGAGTATGGGTATGGTGCTGACAAACCTAGAAACATATAATCTGGGCGAACCGGGATTCGAACCCACAATCATAGGTTTCTGGCGCGCCCAAGGGACACAACTCTTCACAGCGAATCGCAGCACCTTAGATGAGGCCCCCTCCTAAGGGCCAGTAGGATTTAAAACATTTTGGTGGGTTGCTTGGATGGTTGGTTTGTTGTTTAACGCCGCACTCAGCAATATTCCAGCTCTATGACGGCGGTCTGTAAATAATCGAGTCTTGACCAGACAATCCAGTGATTGACACGCTGGTGAAACCCACGAGCACGGGTATGGTGCTGACAAACCTAGAAACATAATCGGGGCGAACCAACTCTCGAGCCAAGGAGCGTGGGGGTTTCTTTCATTCCCATGGGACACATCTCAGCACAGTGAATTGCGGCGCGTCGGACGACTGGGCCAGCCTTGCCCTCCGCAAGGACATGGATATGGTCATCCAAAAATATAACAAGCATTAGTGGAGGGTCTTTATATCCCGTACATCAGTGCATCATACACGTCGGACTCACCACACCCGATAGAAATGACCGTTCCCTTCAGCTCGACGACGTACTGTTTATTTGCATGTTGTTTAACGCCGCACTCAGCAATATTCCAGCTATATGACGGCGGTCTGTAAATAATCGAGTCTGGACCAGACAATCCAGTGATTCACATCATGAGCGTCGATCCACCAAATTGGGATACGATGTCATGCATCAACCTAGTCAGCGAGCCTGACCACCCGATCCCGTTAGCAACCCATGCTTGCCGTAAAAGGTGACTATGCTTGTCGTAAAAGGTGACTAACGGTATCGGGAGGCAGGCTCGCTGACTTGGTTGATGGATGTCATCGATCCAAAGTGCGTGGATCGATGCTCATGATATTAATCACTGGATTGTCTGGTCCAGACTCGATTATTTACAGACCGCCGTCACATAGCTGGAATATTGCTGAGTGCGGCGTTAAACAACAAACCAACCAACCAACCAACCATTCATTCACATGTTTTGCACTTGACCTTCTGTTTTTCCGAAGTTGATTACATAAAAAATGAAACGAAATATGAAAAAAAAATCATGGATTTATTTTAAAATCAATGGATCGTCAATGCCTTTAAACATATTTATAGTTTTAGGTGGAGGAAACACTGCTTGACGTGTGAAAATTCAAGAGATCGCAAAGTCTACTCCACAGTAAGAATGTGGATCATTTCTTAAATGTTAGCATCGGAATTCTCTCTCTCTCTCTCTCTCTCTCTCTCTCTCTCTCTCTCTGCGTTTGCATTCTCTCACTCTATCTGTATTATGCAACAATTCTGTATACAATTCAAATCTTATAGATGTTATATATACGCAACAGTGCGCTTAAAAATTGAAAGACAATGCGTGGGGTTCATAGTTTTATAGCAAGACAATGTCTGCTTTTTCTTTTGAAGCCATTCCTTGAAAACATACAATCTAAATCCAACCCAACCTAATCGGTTACACCCATGGCTCCTGGTCTGACCCGCCCACTCGTGATCTCAGTGATTCATGCAAGTGCGCTTAAATTTATTACAATATCATTTTAATATCTACCCATACAGTTTCTGGTCCAACAGAGAATTGACTTATAATTACTTTTCAGACATGATATGTAACAATACAACTTCAACATTTTAAAACTGTAACTTTCAGATGCAACCGCCCGTCATGTCAAATGACTTTGAACAGTGAGCCAACAGAACGGTATGCGTTAAGCCTGACCTCTGACATGCGGAAGTTTGTCAGCTCTCAGGTAGGGAGTATTTTCCTAAAAACCTTTCAACATATTCTGGCTACTTCGGGTATATCTACCTGAGGATGCTGATCAACTGAGGTAATATGTCCTCAGATAGTTTAGTAATACCAAACATATAGTTCGAACAAAATGGAGAAAACAGCTTTTCCATGCACGATTCTCAAGCAAATTTAAACAGACAATATTAAGGGGCGATTCACGTATCAAGTGAACACCAGATCTACGTACATTGATAAACATGTGTCAACATAAGGAATCAAATCGTATGTGTGCTATTTTATACCCCAATATTTGTACACATGTATCTTCTTTATTTGTTTGATTTACTCGCGTCAAAGCCAACAGAGAGTTTCGAAATGCACTCACATATATCATTAGTTGTGATACAGATAGTATCAGGTAAATAGTGTTGTCCTTAAGCCAGGCTGTCTGCCAACGCTAGTTATTTCACTGTTGACATAAGACTTACTTTGTTTGAACACGTAATCAACGAAGATATGGTGGAAGTAGAAGTTGTCAAGTACCGTCCCATCAAGGTAAGAACTAATTAGACGGCATTGTGGCAATCAAGGTACAGGACGCTACAGGTGCGACAGGTGAATTCAAATCATGAATAAATAGAATTATTCTGAGAATGTCTGCATGATTGTGGTCCTTGTTGTGATATACCAAGACGTTTTCTGACAATACACCTCCTAGATATCTAGGGATAGATTTAGCAAGAGGATGTTTAGATCCCAAGCTGTTATTTATATTTGTTTATGGTTTTGGGTGTTGCAAAACTTGACAGGTGAGAAACAGCTTTGGGAAGGTGTATTTAGCATTCAATGTTTACATACGCATACATATATATATTGTCGCACAGTAGCGAAAAATCGTCATAAAAATGCCACAAGTACTAATATGTGTACTTGATGTAGGTGGAAATCACCTGTCACCTGTTTTCGAGAGCCGAGAACCAAGAAGGGTTGTCTGTCTTGACCGTTTGCTGCCGTCACGCCTCACTGCACTTGGATCTGTTTTTGAGTGATTACAATAATCTTATAGAATCATTTAAGATAATTTGTCACATTTCATATTAGAAATAACAGGTGATTTTGTAACATTGTTGATCATGTTAAATACAACAGTATTTATGTGAGATATGCATTATAGAGAAAGAAGTGGCGATGCATGTAAACATTTCAGTGTATACCACACTGGAACTCGTTATTGGTCAGTAAATAAAAAATATATACCCCCTATATACAGTTAAGTCTTGTTAATCCGACACTGAAAAATCTATCAAACCGGCTTTGTCCCACACTAATGGGAACCGATTAAATCAGTGCTTTTTAGTGCGTTAATCCATCAGTCTCGCACTCCAACTCTGTCACACCTAATTTGCAACAAATTACAGAAATCACTATTTACTCAGTCTCGTTAATCCGACACAGTGGTCAGCGTATTCCGTGGTCATCTGCCAGCGAGTACACAGCCCGGTGTTTTGATGCGATGTATAAGTTCTCTACTTTTATGAGGGTATGTAGTTTTTATTTACTGACCAATAACGAGTTCCTGTGGTATACCAGTCTGTGCCAAACACTTTTGAGGCAATTAGCCCAAATTTGTCCCTCGGCATTATTTTCAGTTGATTTATGTGTTGTATGGAATTTTTTTAACGCAAAAAAATTCATGTTTTGGGGAATTTAACAGGTGATAGAAATAGGCCAAACGAAAGTAAAATGCATAAAAATGCAATAAAAAACTCTGACTAGTACAATTGGGAGTATATTTTCAACCCAATTACACGATCACTGATCGCAAAGTACCTTTTCACAAAATGCACCCCTCCTTTTCAAAAGAACTGCATCTGCTTTTGTTGTAGTTTGGCCTAGTCCTGCACCATGACTGTGGAATATATGTATTTTATGAAAACAAGACTAGATTGGATTTATATAAAATCATGTCTAGCCAGCTCTATTATCAGCATCAGGAAAAGTATTTGTTTTAATTATAGAGGAGAGAAATATATTGTGTAATAAAGGACTATATGTTACAGTTTGTCCTGGAACTGTAATATATATTTGATATTATATGAATGTTCTTGTCATTCTATGTTTACGACATGAGTGTCTAAATTCCAGTATTTCCTGAGCAAGAGGGATGGAAATACCGTAATTTAGGCACAAGTGTTGTAAACATAGTATGACATGAACACTCGTGGGTTGTTCTATTAATACCGAAGAAGATGTTTACATACAGAGACAAATTGTAGTGTTTACCTATAAGGACAGACAGTCGCTACAGCAGAGGAACCACAATTTGTCGAATGACGTCAACAATCTTCAGCTATGACTTGGTTTCTAGTGTGGCGTCATTCCGACCTCACCTCACAATAAGATTCGAATGACGTCTACAATGTCCTCCGGATGACGGAAACAATACATTGTTGTCTTGTGATGTGATATGACCCTAGGGCACATATGATTTTTATGAATATATGTTTGCCCTCATAGGTAATAAAACTTGGAATGCAGACGAGATGACCTCAGAGCTGCATAAAATACACACAATATGTAACCTTTGGTGTAAAAATACCCAAGACTGGACCATATTCAGTAAGGACATATTGAAAACACAAAGGAAACTATCAATATCCAATGTGAATGATAATTTGTGTGTAAATATTCAACATGCTCAATGGCTCAAAAATGGATTTTTCCATAAGTTTGAATAATGACCATGTGTGCAAGTAAAAGAAATCTTTTCTAAATTATGTAATTTGCTATTTCCTATTCCTGATACAATAATGATTGAAATTCCAAAATTCTACAACATAAGCCAACTGACCATGCTGACATGGTTTAGGCGACATTTTTTTTATTTCTTGGTTTATGGTTTCAGACTCATTCAAAAGTGAGGGTGGCAAATTAAAAAACAATACAAAACAACCTCTCAGATTTTTTTAAAAACTTTTTTTCTATAAAGTTAATTAGGTATTAAAAAAGATTTCTGGGGTACCAAAAGTAAAACAACTCAATTTATCAAGAGACATTTTATTATATCCCTGGCAGACAGCTTCTACATCAATGGCAATATAACAATATTCATGTCATGGTGAAGACGCCGCTATTTTGGCAGCATGGGCGGCGATTAAACTGGTCACCACTGTGCTTTTTGTTGACATGCTCTGATGGTATCCGATCCCGGCGAGAAATATTAGAGTGACTTCCCTTTACTTTACACTCGATGAGGAAACAAATCTTCTTCTTTTTTTTGAACTTTTTGTGCATTTTTTAAAGTAAAGTAAGGCACTAATAAAAAACGAGTAGTTTGTAAAAAATTTTCAACATTTGGACTTTGAAAAAGCAGTGCATCTGTAAACCAAGAAATAAAAAAAATTGTGCATAAAATGTTTCTGAATTTTTTAGATAGTTAGCCAATGGTAAGGGCAGTTGAACAAGAATCAATTAGTGTGATTGGCACAGATGCACTGGCCACACTACACTGCTTCCTGTGTGTTAACAAATGGTAAAGTTTCATTAACATTACATTTTGTCTCTTTTTCTAACAATGTATTGATTTGTGAAAATTTGTAATTTGTTCTTGCAATGTATTATGTATGGTGGTTGCAGTGGCTTATATCTATTTCTGCCAAGAGGTCGATATTCGGCCCCAGGACTGCAGCATAATGTCAGCACAATTCCCAAACTAGAATTAGGAACCTTCCCAATTCATGATAATGGTAATCACTAATCTTATAGCCTTGTAGAGATCAATAGTCATGATGGAGGAGATGAGTGTGTATTGCTTGGTTTTAGATTATTGCATTGAATGCAATACCATGTGTACAATGTTAACGTTGATCTGAATTTAAAAAATTAGATATTAAAAATCCTGAGGAAGAGAATTTATAGATGTCAACTTCTTTATTATGAGGAACACGTTTTGGAGTATATACTTACTTCTTCATCAGGTGAATAAGTAAGTTATACATGTATAATGTACTCCGAAATGTTGTTTTCCTCATAACAAAGAAGTTGACGTCCATAATTCTCTTCCTTATATGTATCACTTCTAAATTCCATTCAAAGACTAAAAAATCCTATCAAAGAACAAAATAATGTTTGTTTGTTGTTTAACACGGCACTCAGCAATATTCCAGCTATATGACAGACAGAAATGCAAATGTTAGTGACTTGTAGTGTAACCATCGAGTTTGGGTTATTGTCACAATATATCATGTGACTTACCGCAGGTGCAGACCAAAACAGGACCCACCCTACCCGAGTACCCGAGTTACCCATTCCATCAACCAAGTCACCAAGCCAGACTTCCCAATCCACAAAGTCCCCCCTTACTTTTGTTTGTTTGTTGTTTAACACAGCGCTTAGCAATATTCCATCTATATGACGATGGTCTGTAAAATAATCGAGTCTGGACCAGACAATCCAGTGATTGACATCATGACCATTGGTCCACGCAATTGAGATGCGATGACATGCATCAACCAAGTCAGTGAGTCTGACCACCCGATCCCGTTAGTTGCCCCTTACGACAAGCACAGTCGCCTTTTACAGCAAGCATAGGTTGCTGAAGACCTATTCTACTCCAGATCTTCACAGGTCGAACAAAATAATTATTTTTTTCCAATTTGCCTGCCAGGGGCAGTTAGCCTCAAATCCTTGGATTGGTGTATTTGAGCATGTCTTATTCACCTCCCAAGGCAAGGGAGTTAACTGACCTTGCAGAACTCAATTGTAGCGCCACTAGTGGCTAGTACGAGTTATGTCCCTTTTATGTCCCTCCTTTTGACCAATCTGATTCCACCTGTCATATCACTTACATTTGGTTACAACAAAATGGCGGCCCAATAAAAGACAATCTGATCGATAATGAAAATATGAAAAGATTTGGTACACATGCTCTGCAAATCCTGCAATCAACTGAAATCTTCCAGGCAGTCCCGAGGGGCGGTCGGGTAGCCTCGTGGTTAAAGCGTTCACTCGTCACGCCGAAGACCCGGGTTCGATTCCCGACATGGGTACAATGTGTGAAGCACATTTCTGGTGTCCCCCGCCGTGATATTGCTGGAATATTGCTAAAAGCGGCGTAAAGCCACACTCACTCCAGGCAGTTGCCATGTTATTTGTAAACAGATGTCGATTTCTTTACGAGATTTTGATGGAACTGTGATGTCCAGCCAAAATATTAGTAAATATCGCCATGGGCGCTTATTAGAGTGGGGAGCTTATTACGTCGAATACGGTAACTCATTTGCTTTCTTGTACTTCATAGATTGGGATTTCCTTGTTTAAGTTAAAACTTAGTGATTGAATGAAAACATCTGACATGGCCTGTCTGAACATTTCTCGTTCTTCTTACCAGAACAGAAATATCAGATACATCTTGTGTATGTTTCGGTTTAATTTCTTTCATTAGTAATTCCAACTTCCATACATCGGGACTTATATTGAATAAGTTTTGAATCCATTCTTAATTTTTATGTGTGTTGGATGTAGTTTTTGTGTCCTGTTAACACATGGAAAAACTA